CTTTCGACCTCTCGAACTTACACCAGCGAGCTCTCGACCTCTCGAGCTTACAACAGCAAGCTCTCGACCTCTCGAGCTTACACCAGCGAGCTCTCGACCTCTCGAGCTTACAACAGCGAGCTCTCGACCTCTCGAGCTTACAACAGCGAGCTCGCGACCTCTCGAGCTTACAACACCGAGCTCTCGATCATTTCGCCTAGAATTCTATCGTCAAACAGTTATATTTATTTTCCACTACGGGATCTGTTCAATACGCATCCGGTCAAAAAGTCTCTATCAACCAAAAAATGTTGAAAGCCATACCCACAAATAAAGACCTGTCGTCCCCAAACTTACCTTGCGTAATGCTCGCCGTAGTCCTGACAAGGAGTTTCATGGCGTTTGAATCAGTCAAATTACTAGAACAGATGATAGATGACATTGAACAAGCCTCTTCTCACGGCCCACCTCAACACAACAACGGAAAGCACGCGGCCGATGAGGGGAGATGGCGGGCATCTCATCGACTCTCGAGAATGGTGGTCGCTGTCTGCAGTAGTCTCGGCCCCAACCTCACCTATCGCTAGCTGGCGAACGGGGAAACACAACGTCGACGAACAAATGACCGGGCTTCACCGGAACTGGCGGCAGGACAGGCCAGGAATAGCCATCCGGTGTCACGGCGGGCTGGTGCAGGTGCCGCCTCGCGGGGTCATCAGTGCCCACGACCCACAAACCTGTCATTTGTGAACCCAAGGGCTCGTGCGCCAGCAACCGTCTCATGTGTCGCGACGCAATTCAACCCCTACGAGAGGAAGGGAGAGAGAGAGGGAGAGAGAGAGGGAGAGAGAGAGAGGGGGGCGGGGACGATGTGGCTGTACTCGGGGAAAGTACGCCGACTGCGTAATAACCTCTCAGATACACGGAAGCTGTCGGCAGCAAGATCACGAATGACCTACACCACGGCTACTAAGCTCCACATAGACCAAAATGTGACGCGAATTACTCGTGCGTAGTCGGCCAGCAGGGTTTGCGCGAAGATGACTTCACGATGGGCTTCTACGGTCACCGACGGAAGAGGTGACCCAGCGCCGAGGCCTCGCCGGACGGACACGTGCTCTACTACGGTCACCGACGGAAGAGGTGGCCCAGCGCCGAGGCCTTGCTGGACGGACACGTGCTCTTCTACGGACACCGGCGGAAGAGGCGACCCCAGCACAGGGGCCTTGCCGGACGGACACGTGCTTTGCTATGCCCCGAGGAACACGATTACCGCCGGCCAGCGCAGACAGCGTAACAGATTGGCGGCCCACGAAGACCTATGTGGAGAATTTAAATAAAATTCCGGGGCCGACAGCAGCAGGATAGATGAACTCGTGCGGCGCTGGTAACGGCAATAAGCGCCACGCCCCGGACGCCGGTAGTGCTAGATCACAGCCCGGGAAAATCTCAGCGGCCGGCCCACTCGCACCAGCGGACCCAGCCAGACGCCAGACTGGGCCAGACTGTTCGGCCCAGACCGACAGACTGCCGCGCGACGTCTTGCGCGCACGACCGGCCAGACATCTCCAGAACACCGCTGAGGCAGTGTGTGCTCCTACAGTAATGACCGCTTTCTGTACACCACGGCGGGCGAAAGTTTAAAAGTTCTGTGCAAGCTGTTGCCGAAGGGAAGGCCAAAAGGGGGGGGGGGATGGGTAGGGAGGAACATCGGTCATTCTTCGGCAGAGTGTCAGGGGAAGCGGTTGCTCGGGGCGGCGCCTCGTTCTTGTCAGCCTCCTTCGTCAGAGACGCATCCTACTTTAGCTTTCCCGCTGACGCATCGCGCGCCTCCAGCATAAGCACTTCCCCATCCCAAACGACTGTGAATAAGTGTATGCGACCATTACGCTATAAGTACGAAATTCAAGCCAATGTCTGCGTCATTGACACCATGTGGCCATTCTCGCACCAATAAAGCATCATGTATGGGTCGTCGCTGCAGACGGTAGGGACATAAATCCCGTACCTTCTCTATGCTGAAAACAGTTCCTCGATAAAATGCCCGAATACGAATTTGCTGGGATGCGTGCTGTTGGAGACGTATAACGTTATCATGAACAACGCAATTGAATATCTAGTTTATTGTTACATCCGCAATTAAGTCGTTTTTTATGTACGTATACACACACACACACACACATATATATATATATATATATATATATATATATATATATATATATATATATATATATACAGAATCAGAATGACACAATGAAATATTTTTACCTTCTCGTGGTGGATATTCATCCGAAGGAACGAGGCTCCACCTTGCATGCTTGTGTTAACTATTGCCACTGTCATGCCTAGCGATGTCTGTTAAATACACATTTAGTGCGTTGTACCTGTGTTACTTTGTATTCTGATGATGATACACAAACTATGAAAACGCTGACGAAGTACATACATAATGGCGATTACTTTCCTTGCCATCAGGTTTATACTGCTCCTTACTATCCGAGGATCTGGCATATGTAATTATGAGACGAAAGAAGCCATGGCGAGGAGTTCGTGAGTCAGGGACGGGAATGTTTCTCACTTCTCAAAAAAGAAGGAAGTTGACTTCGTCATGGTTCTCAAAACATGTAAGACGCGCAGCATTCTTCCCAAGTCATTAAGATTAAAGTCATCCAAGAAGGCGCTCCAAAACTCGAAGCTCTTTCGGTCATGGTGAGATGAGCTTCTTGATCTAAAACTTCGACAGATGATAACAGCCAGTTGTTATTTGAATAACGCATCTCGCTTTCTAAGCTTCACCAAACATTGCCATTTTTAAAATTTGCCTCTTAAAACATCTTCTGACGACAGTGTATTCGTCAAGAAAACTGGAGATACCGATTTAAGAAAGCTACCAAATTTCGGCATACGCATTGGGTTACGACCTCTCGTCATCAATAATGCGATCCAAAATTTCGGCATATGCTATGAGCTACAGCCTCTTGTCCCCAAGAATGCGCGTTTTAATTTGTTCTCCATATATATATATATATATATATATATATATATATATATATATATATATATATATACACGAGCGCGTGAGGATTCTGGCAGTTCCCTTTCTGGACTTCCACCATGTCTGCTCAAAGTTGGCAGTTCAAGAACCAATGTTGAAATCCATCAGCCAGATAGGATTAAGAGATTCCCAGGCAAAGCCAGGAGACTTGGAATGTTCCATGTTAAACACTCTAAAGAGCTTCATGTGTCTGGGAGTACTCCTGGGTCCTACATGATCTTCCAAGTCCACAAAACCCTCTTTCCTTTTCAGGCCGACTTTTCAGCTTGTGGCATGCCCTCCTTGATCATATCCATATAGCTTATACCATTACTGACACCTTTAAGCAAAAATGAATGCACTGACTACTTCTATTCAATTTGCACCATCAATTCCACGACTTGAGTTTTTCAAAGGCATGACTGTGGCCAGCTTTGACATTAGCAGCTTCTTCACAAATATTCCGCGAACAGAAACACTACACATTTGCGTGAACAGTGCGAGTCCTGTTCATACTGTTACTGAGGATGAGGAAGAGAGGAGAGAGGAGAGAGGAGAGAGAGAGAGAGAGAGAGAGGAGAGAGAGAGAGAGAGAGAGAGAGAGAGAGAGAGAGAGAGAGAGAGAGAGAGAGAGAGAGACCAGACACACACGCACACACATGCGCGCGCACGTGTGTGTGCGTGTGTGTGTGTGTGTGTGTATGCATGTATCTATATGTAATTATACATATACCAATTGATCTGACACATTTTACAGACAGCGCTCTTGTCTAACTCGGACCGAAACGAAACCATGGCCGCTGTCTAGCATGATTGGAATACCATACCCATAGCCATAACACTCATCTAAAATCTTACGGGACATCACTCTGTAAGAAGACTAAGCTGGAACTTCTTGGATACATGTTGTTCTCCTATTTTTGCTGAACTTATCCTGTCATGAAGCATTACACTATTTATATGTAAAATCCAGTAACAACAAGAAATATACTCAATATTCACCTTCCAAAAAGTCCACATTGGGGCGCAATCGAGCTGTTTGCACAGGGTTAATATGGATCAGCCAGCTTTCCACACCTCAATGGAAAGCTCATGGCGCCAACGCCACTGTCGCTTAAACTCACTGCCACACATTTATTTGCTTGCTTTCATTTGGTACCTTATACAGTACAAATATGCCCGAAGGGGATGCCAACGTGTGCACAAATTAATTCCCTCTCCGCAGCACTAAGCTAGTAGCAAAAGCAGTGCATGAACATGGCACGATACGACGTAGTTGGCAGTTCACATAGCCCATGCACGGTCACGTTACTTGCAAAACTCCGACGCTCCGCCGACAAAACTCCCAGCGAGAGCAAAAACACACATTTTCACTACGCCATCCAGCCCGTTCAACAGCCACAGATCACCTTTGATCCGACCATAAGCTCAATACAAATATAAAAATACGCCTGACACCTGGTACCGCTCGGCGGTGATCCCACCTAGCACCTCATCCTACGCTCACGCCCGTGCTCACAAAGCCGGCGATCGTCCAGAAACACGGCACAGCGCGCCGGCGGGGGCGGCGCCGGCGCCAGGTGAGTACAGACTCGGTCGGCTGCGACAAGTCGGTGGCGCCCTCCGCCCCGATCGGCGCCGTTGGACGGGTCGCGGCTCCCGGCGCCTCGTCAGTGGTCTGGCCGCATCAGTCGCCACAGTTCCGTCCCAATGCTGGACCATGTCAGCTGTGACACGGCGCCAGTGTGACAGCGCCGCCGCCGCGAGCCCCCACCGGCCAGCCAGACACCACCCGGCCGGCCGCGGCTGTCCGGAGCACCGCCGCCGCGAGCCCCCACCGGCCAGCCAGACACCACCCGGCCGGCCTGCGGCTGTCCGGGCCGCCGCCGCCGCGAGCCCTCACCGGCCAGCCAGACACTACCCGGCCGGCCGCGGCTGTCCGGAGCACCGCCGCCGCGAGCCCCCACCGGCCAGCCAGACACCACCCGGCCGGCCGCGGCTGTCCGGAGCGACGGCCGTCGCTCTACCGCCAGCCGCCTGTCAGCTTGTGGAAGAGCTCGCGGTCCAGCGTCTGGCTCGAGTCCTTGGAGCGCAGCTGGAGGAAGATGTAGCCGCCGATGAACTCGTGCACCACCTTGCAGTCGGAGGAGAGGCACTCGAACACGATGTTCTCCCCATCGAACTGCACCATCATGTGCCGCACCTCCCAGTTCACGTTCCATGCCTGTGGACATGGCACGTGCGTAATCAACCGGCGCACACCAGCGTTTTCGCGAGCCGTGAGTGCACAATGATCTTGACTGTCGCTCCCTTCGCCACAGTCAGCCACAAACGCGGATCTCGCACCACTAATGCAGTGCTTGTGAGTATCAGAAAACGGCGACCGACGGAGGGGTAAAATTTGTCCTGGTCGGTTACCCATTCAGTGCACATATTTTTTACATCAAACCGGCCGCAGTGCGTCATGTCACTAAGCAGGCCGTGCCTCAAGGTTCGTAGTTATCAATATCAACCAATACAGAACGCTAGCCAACCAAACATGTCTCTGGAAAAAAATTAACGACATATATTTTCCATGGATTCGTTGTGATCAACCGATGTCAACGAGCTATGACGGTCTTACTAGACTTCAGCTCGGTTAGACCACTTGTTTGCGCTTGGGATTCAGAGCACGGTTCCATGACTATTTCCTGGAGCCGGCCTCCATATATATGTTCAGGATCCATAACTACTCTGCCTCACATTTTTTAGCAATGTAGACAACGTGGAAGACTGGTGAAATGGGAGAGAACCAGACATCCTGCATTCCCTAGACACCAGGCTTTCCAGTGGCCTCTGTTTTGTGTTGAAACCCCAATTAGCGAGCGAGTAATCATGAGCCCATCTCTTCCCTTGGCACACCAGTAAGGATACCCCCCCCCCCCCCCCCATAGCCTGGCAGCGTTAGGGGTCCATTATCACTATTTCGTTCCTCAGGTAAACATGAGGCATGCACATTATGGCTCATACGATATAACCCTCGATAAACGTCTCCCTAACCACGATTTCAACGTGAGTCCATTTAATTTTTGCATCACATACATCAAGTGCAAATAACAACAAAGCAAACACAGATGCGGGCATACACATCCCAAGCGTGCACAAGCGTGTGCAGTTCAGAGATAGTGACGCCTTACGAACGGGTTATCATGTCACACATAGGGGATGCAGAGGTTTGGGTGACAGTCCCATTCCAGCCACCGTTCCCGCCCGGCTCGGCCGGCTGCTCGCCTTCATGGTGTCGTAGCGCCAGGTCTTCGCATGGTTGCCGTTGATGTCCATGCGGATGAGGCGGTTGAAGGCGATGCCGAGCAGCTCCTCCTTCTTGGCCTTCAGCAGTTTCACCACGAAAAAGGATATTCCGAACTCGGGCTGCGCCTTCCAAGACTTGATGTAGTTCAGCTTGGCCTCGACGAGGCCGTAGTTCGCCACGTTGGCGTGTGCCTCCAGTATCTTCTGCGTGAGCTGGGGACGCACGCAGACACTCAGAGAGGTCAACGGCACGTACTTAAGACAAACGTCACGTCAAAACTTACACACACACGCGCGCACACCCACAGACACACCCACACCCACACCCACATCAGTCTGCACTGCATCTCAAAATAGCCGCCCGACCGCGCCAATCATGCTCCAGCTCCAGTCCGTGGCAATCGCCGACGATCGACGGCTGGCGGACGATTGCTTGCATCAATATTGAAGACCCCGTTAATTGGCTATCGTGTTGAGCCGTCGCAGCCGCCGTACAACCACACCACCCATGCCTGAGACCTTGAATGGAAAGGGGACGGACAGCAGTCTGCAGCGCAGGGCAACATCCCTCCCCCACGGCGAGTCGGCCACGCTGTTCCGTTGACTTCAGGGCGGGCGGCGGGTGCCCACCTTTCCGCGCAGTTTCTTGGTGAACCGGGGCGGTACGTAGTCGTCTGGCTCGATCTGCAGCGTGTGCGGACTGATGGCCGGCGTCGGGGCCGGCCGCTGCAGCGCCAGCCGCTCCTGGGTGGCGCGCACCTCCGTCTCGAACGAGGAGTCGGCCATGCTACGGCCGCGGGCCGCCAGCCGGCAGGCCGAGACCCACCGGGCGTACTGCTCCTCCTGTCGGCAGAGAGAGAGGCGGTGTCAGGCCTAGATCCACCGGGCGCACTGCTCCTCCTGTCGGGGGAGAGGGGCGGTGTCAGGCCGAGATACATCAAGCCGAGATCCACCGGGCGTACTGCTCCTACTGTCAGGGGAGAGAGGGGCGGTGTCAGGCAGAGATACATCAAGCCGAGATCCATCGGGCGTACTGCTCCTCCTGTCGGGGGAGAGGGGCGGTGTCAGGCCGAGATCCACCGGGCGTACTGCTCCTCCTGTCGGGAGATAGAGGGGCGGTTGTCAGGCAGAGTACTACAAGCGGAGATCATCGGGCGTCCGTACTGCTCCTCCTGTCGGGAGAGAGAGGAGGCGGTGTCAGGCGAGATACAGAGAGCATACTGCTCCTCCTGTCGGAGAGAGGAGGGGCGGTTGTCAGCCGAGATACAGAGAGCATACTGCTCCTCCTGTCGGGGAGAGGGAGGCTGGTGTCAGGCAGAGATACAGAGAGCATACTGCTCCTTCCTGTCGGGGGAGGAGGGAGGCGGTGTCATGTGCCGACGATACAGAGAGCATACTGCTCCTCCTGTCGGGAGAGAGAGGCGGTTTGTCAGGCCGAGATACAGAGAGCATACTGCTCCTCCTGTCGGATGAGAGAGAGGCGTTGTCAGGCCGAGATCCATCGGGCGTTCTGCTCCTCCTGTCGGAGAGAGAAAGGGCGGTGTAAGGCCGAGATACAGGGGTCGCCAGAACAGAAACAACCTTCTGACGGCGCCCGCCAAGTCGGGATTGGACAGAGCTCCCCTCTGGGACTGTGTACATGTGGAAGACATATCGGGTGCACTGCTCCTTCGGTCCGTACGGACGGCAGCAGCATCAGGGAAAACGATATCAAACCCGTAAGCGGGATTTCAACTCAGCCACACCACTGCTCGTCTTCAATGTAGGAGACAAATGCAACGTAAGCATCGCTTTTAACATATTCCCACAGTGGCGGCTCGCGGCGCTTGATGAAACACGCCAGTGAGACAGAAACTCCTCCGGTTTCGTCAAGACGAAGTCGACACAACCGCGATACCGTCGACGGCCAGCGGAGCTCACAGGCCGATGACGTCTCGCGAGGTGTGAAGAATGGGTATCCCCGTCGATTATAATAGTGACTAGGGTACTGATAACGACAATAATAGCCCTGCATGCTTGATGCTTACGGTTATGGTCAAGATGCCGGCTATTGGCAGGTCGGTCTGACTGAGGAACTACATGCCATTATTTACTAGAAAACAACAGCTGTGCTACGTTATCACCACATAACGCAAGGCTGCTAATGTCAGAGCAATAACACGAACCACCGCCAGGCAACAACCACAGACCCTCACCACACTAGGCGCATTCCCCCACCAACCCCTGTCGGTAGAAAACCGTGGATGTGGTGTTCGGTGTACTCCCTAAGCACGATTTCACTCCACTTTATTCCATCTCATACGATTGATACGGTTGACGCGCGCGTGCCGCCCGTCCGGCCCGGCCGAGGCCGCGGCACCAGCGACATCCACGCGAGACGTCAGGTGTCGGCACCCACCGACTCGCAGCGGAGCATCATGTCGGACAGGCCGTCGGGGGCCGGCACCTGCAGCTTGATCCCGTACTTGCCGCCGGCAATGTTGACGTCTGGCACAACCTCACAGCCCTTCAGGTCCACCTGGCGACGGACGGCACAACTAGACGCCACAGACACCTGCAAACGCTGAGCACTATCGCAGGTGACGGCCCTCTAGGTTCCCTGCGGACGGGGAGGGGTGGGGTAGGGGACGGGGGAATACCCCCTCCAGATTCTGAGGACGGTCAGAGGTGACCTCACATCTCTCCAGGTCCATCCAGGGCCGGAGAGCCGTCAGAACAGCGCGACCCCACTCCGCCGACACAATAGCACCGCTTACACGGCCCGCGCGTATAACCAGCTGACAGAGCAGCCCCACTCCGCCGGCACAGTAGCACCGCTCAGACGGCCCGCGCGCACCCCCAGCTGACAGCGCGGCTCCTCTCCGTCGACACAGCAGCACAACGCGCGGGCGCCACGTAAGGCTGCGCTGCGGCCTCACCTGCAGGTACGGCTGCTGGTCCGCCTCCTCCTCAGACTTGTACAGGTACAGCGACATGTCCTTGTACACGAACCAGTACCGCTTGAAGCCCTTTAGCGTGAACCGCCGCGGCCTGTCATGCATTGAGAAATTATGTCACGCCAGGTCAGCGACACACAAGCCCGACCGTGCTGCCGAGACAAGGTCCTAGGGCTGCAGGTGACGAGAATGGAGCGACGCGTCGAGACGGGAGCAATACTCCCAGCCCCGGAGGAATGCACAGACACAGTACAAGTGCGCCGTACAGGCAACTAGTGAAATGGGGCCGTCACACACAAAAACACAAAGACGTCTAAAAGTGGAAGCCTCAACTCCACTTCGAACCCTTCAAAACGAGGTGCCGAGCTTCCACCGAATCCCGACAGAGGTCGTACCGACCCTCCCTGCAGCCGGCGCCGTCCCGGCTCGGTAGCAGGCCGCGGGCGGCGGCGGCGGCGGCGGCGGCGGCGGCGGCGGCGGCGGAGGCGCACCTGAGGAAGCGTAGGTAGTCGGCCAGCCGCGGCACCTGCGTCAGGCTGCCGCCTGCGCCGTTGACATGCGTGCCTTCCAGCTTGACCTGCAGCTGGTCCAGCGCCGAGGCGACGTCGTCCTCGGGCGGCGACGGCGGCGGCTGGGCGCGGCTGGAGCTGAGGCGGGGCAGCGAGCCCTGCAGGTTCACCTGCAGCTGGACCACGGCCGCCAGGACGCCACAGTCAGGAGGCGCACATGAGGGACGCCAGACGGCTGCCACAGTTTGGGAGATAGTCCGTGCGCAAACGTTTGCTGCCATATTAACACTGGAGCGGCGGGTGCTTAGGTAAGCTGCTAATGGCGCGTGCTTCCGTTATCCTCATCATAAGATTATACTCGATAATTTCAACAGCAATTGTGCTTTCGTATTTGACTCACACAACACAATATATATATATATATATATATATATATATATATATATATATATATATATATACTTATGGCAATACAGGGGTCTGCTGATGCAGCAGTATCATTCATATAAGGTTACGCGCCAAGCTTGTGCTACACTGCCAGGCATCGAGATGTTTCATAAACAAAAAGAATATTGCTAAAATTACATTACCCGGAAGCTAAAATCACTAGCATAAATATTTGAACTCTTAATACCTGGAAATAGCCGATCTCAATGAAATTCGCACACCGTGCAGGCGGGTTTGGATGGCAGATGAAAAGCCAGATTTTTTACCGGAATCATAAATTTACACGGCGATTAGCGACTGCACCAAACCAGTGACCAAACCAGTGTTAGGTAACGGCGTCGCGTCCCATGATGGCCGCTGTCACTCCTGATACCGACCCTGCTCCCCCCGCCCCCGCCTTGCGCTCGAGATTTACCCCACCGGCTGGTGAGCGCCGTCCGCCACCCCTGCCTACCAGCAGGCCGGCGATAGCTGGTGGGTACTGCCCGCCACCCCCGCCCACCAGAGGCCGGCGACAGCTGGTGAGCGCCGCCCGCCACCTCTGCCCACCTGTAGGCCGGCGAACAACAGCATCTCTTCCTCGGTGCAGTCAATCTCCTCGTTCAGGATTTGCCACTTGGCCTGCTCGTACAGCATGTTGATGCGCACCGCGTCGTAGTTGGGGTCCAGATCGTAGAAGGTGTAGAACTTGAAGCGCAAGAGCAGCGTGTCGTTCTCGTCCACGCCCTGTTCCATGATTGAAAGCGACGAATCCAGCCACCTGGTGGACCCACAGAGCACCATTAGTGCCGGCGGCGGCGCTGCAATCCGTCTATCTCGCACACGGTAACAATAGCACAGCGTTGTCTCCAAGCCGGGTTGAACAATGCCACCCAATGACAGTTATTCCGCATCCTTCAGCACACTTGCATGCATTTTTGCTCACAGGTTACTGCATTCTCGTTATCCAGGACTTGCACAAATCGGGTTCAGCCCCGATGAAAAAACGAGGCTGAAGAATCAAGTTGACTAACGGCCGGTGCAAACATCAACATTGGTAAGTGTGGAATTCAACTAGAGTACGGCACGAGGTCTGCCTCGCGCGAGATCCTTCCATCCTTTATTCTTTCATCTACACGACTCACCATAAATCACCTAGTGAACAATGGACGGCAGCATCAAACGCCGGCAGCAGATACAGCAGGTCATCGGACAATAATGAACAAGGCGCACGCGTCGCGCCGGCCGTGCCTGGCCATTCAAGTGGGCCCGCGGAGCCGCAGTTTGTACAGCCGAAACCAACCGACCGAGCTCACTGAACGAAACAGCGCTGCCCTGCAGACGAAACGGCCGTCTGACACGCCACACCCGCCTCCGGTGCCGGCCTGGCGCTCCGGGGCAAGCCCAGCACCCGCCCCGCCCTGCAGACAGCGCGCAGTCTGCTGAGGGGGGGGGGGGGGCGGGGGCGACCCGAGGCGGGGCGGAACATCCGACTCCCGGCTTAGGACGCGGAAGTCCGGCGACGTGTCGTACGACCGTCTGGTTCCACGAGGGAATATTGGTGGCATGGATTTGGTTCCAGGAGGGAATGTTGGTGACATGGATTGAGACCGATGATATTGAAATAATTTTCTGGTTTACCGTATCAATGAAGCTGCCTCTTTTTCAGCGTGCTATGGGGACTTTGAGGACTTTGAGGACTATAGGGACTTTGAGGCCTTGGATAGCATGCAAACTGTTAATCGAATAACACCAAAAGATGCTGAGAGTAACACAAGTTTCATGCAATGTGTACGGTGGGGTTTGTTTGTGACGTTGAAGTGTAGGGTGTGGTGTTTATAACGCGCGCGTGTTGGCGCTCGCGCCGTATTACTCACGCCACGTTCATGCGCGCCCTCTCGAGCAGCGAGCGCGGCCGGACGAGGAGGCGTTGCGCCTGCGCGGCCGGCACTATCGGGCTGTGCGCCAGGCCCGAGTCCAGGCCGTCCAGGCCGGTGCCGGAGCCCGAGCGGCCGGCCGTCAGACTGTGGCTGAGCGAGCTCAGCCCGCTCAGTGAGCCGCCCAGCGTGCTGGAGGGCGTGCCCGGCGGCGCTGACCGCCACGTCTGGGGACACAGACAGCGACGGCCTCAGGTGGGGCCAACGGCACACCGACACCAACACAGGCACCAGAGGAGGGACGGGTGCCGTCAGGTGGGGTCAGCGACACACCGACACCAACACAGACACCAGGGGAGGGACGGGTGTAGTCAGGTGGGAGTCAGCGACACACCGACACCAACACAGACACCAGGGGAGGGAGGGGTGTCGTCAGGTGGGAGTCAGCGACACACCGACACCAACACAGACACCAGGGGAGGGAGGGGTGTGGTGAGGTGGGGATCCACGGCGTGCTCTTTTCAGCATGTGTTTTATTCAGGGACGAGACGATGCACGAATGAGAAAGATTGTGCAAATATCAAGATGTTCACAGGCCCCCTTCCAACTCAGTTTCGCACATGTCGTTTTTCGACGAACTGGAGGGACATGTCACCTTGCAAGTGTCCCTGTAAAAAAGCCATCGCGTGGAAGAAGGACCAAGACTGTTGTTTCCCATCACTGCAGCGCAACTTTTCAACTTCAATAGTCCAAGCTCAAGGCAATCAGAAGTGCTGTGCTCAAACAATGGACACAAAATGTATAGTCGTCAGTTGTCAAGAGCGGACTTCGGTCCTATCGGGTCTTCCCACCAGTCGAGAGAGGCAAAACATCCGTGTTTTCCATGCAAACCGGCGGGTGACGTGGCGCCAAGCCCACCCTCCTCGCCACACTGCGAAACCAGCAAAACCAGCTGTGGACGCCATCGCCAGGACCTCATCAAGACGTCTAGCATGCCCTGCATGGTAAGTCGTCGCGGGACCCCCAGTGGTGATGTGTGGCGGAGCGGCCGGGCGCTGGGCTCCCAGAGGTGGTGTGTTGGGGAGCGGTCGGGCGCTCGCCCCTAGAGTGGTGGCGTTGGCGGAGCGGCCGGGCGCTGCCCCCAGAGGTGGGTGTGTTGGCGGAGCGGCGGGCGCTGGGCTCCCAGAGGTGGTGTGTTGGCAGAGCGGTCGGGCGCTGCGCCCCTAGAGGTGGTGCGTTGGCGGAGCGGTCGGGCGCTGCGCCCCCAGAGGTGGCGTTGGCGGAGCGGCCGGGCGCTGCGCCCCCAGAGGTGGTGTGTTGGCGGAGCGGCCGGGCGCTGCGCCCCCAGAGGTGGTGTGTTGGCGGAGCGGCCGGGCGCTGCGCCCCCAGAGGTGGTGTGTTGGCGGAGCGGCCGGGCGCTGGGCTCCCAGAGGTGGTGTGTTGGCAGAGCGGTCGGGCGCTGCGCCCCCAGAGGTGGTGTGTTGGCGGAGCGGTCGGGCGCTGGGTTCCCAGAGGTGGTGTGTTGCCGGAGCGGTCGGGCGCTGCGCCCCCAGAGGTGGTGCGTTGGCGGAGCGGTCGGGCGCTGCGCCCCCAGAGGTGGTGTGTTGGCGGAGCTGCCGAGCGTTATCGGCCTCTGCGGCGGCCCGTCCGGAGCTCAGTTCCGGCCCCGGCTACCGAGGCACCGGCGGCGGCGACGGCGAGCCCCCGCAGCGGCCACGTGACGTCACAGGCCCGGGGGCCGTCTCCAGCGCGGTTTTGATCAGTAGACCCCAAGGCCGAGCAGGGGCTGGGTCGTTATGCGAATCTTGCACCCAGATGGGGGCTAATGAACAGTCGGCGGCGCCTGTCTAGTGCGGCCTGTCGGCGGCGCCTGTCTGGTGCGGCCTGTCGGCGGCGCCTGTCTGGTGCGGCCGGCCTGTCGGCGGCGCCTGTCCGGTGCGGCCTGTCGGCGGCGCCTGTCTGCTGCGGCCTGTCGGCGGCGCCTGTCTGGTGCGGCCTGTCGGCGGCAGCGGCCGCGTCCGCGTGCTGTTTGTCCGTCTGGGTCACAGGGTCAGACGCCCTTGTACCGAGGCGTCTGACCAACATGTCCGCTTACGGCCGTCGTAAAACGAGGAACACACTTAAGTGGAGCTGACAAACGCGGTAAACGAGTAAGTTGCTGTACGGAGCGTCAGCCGGCCCAGACCGTATGGTCCCCATCCGCACCGTGTCGAGATGAGACCTTGACCCGCCCGTCCATCATACGACGCGAATTATGATCGGACCTGTCGCGCCCTGTTGTAGCTAAACGGTCCGTCAGCCTCCTATTGTACCGCCTATTGTCTTCCTATTGTACTGCCATCCTCATCCTCTTCCTCCCCCTCCCTCCAGTTACAACCAGCATTAAGGCCGCGTCCCCGTCAGCTGCCCCGGTGTGGATGATTCCTCCCCTCCCCCACATATAACAGGAGGGCTCCTCGCCGAGTGCTGCCTCGGCCCCTGCCTGTAGGGAGCGCCGCGGCCGTGCCGAGCAGCAGCGCGGCGGCGCCAGCCAGCACCGAGCGGCGTCGGCGCCCGGCGCGGCGGGGCGGAGCGTGGCGGGGCGCGGCGCCGGTGACTCAGCGGGCCGCACTGTGTGCGGGAGGGAGGGGCCGCCGGTGCAGCGGTGAAGTCACGCCGGCCGGCCGGAGCTCCCCGCCGCCCTGGCGCCGCTGCTGGAGCCAACCGCCCGGAGCTCCCCGCCGCCCTGGCGCCGCTGCTGGAGCCAACCGCCCGGAGCTCCCCGCCGCCCTGGCGCCGCTGCTGGAGCCAACCGGTCGGAGCTCCCCGCCGCCCTGGCGCCGCTGCTGGAGCCAACCGCCCGGAGCTCCCCGCCGCCCTGCGCCGCTGCTGAGCCAACCGCCGGAGCTCCCCGCCCGCCTGGCGCCGCTGCTGAGCCCCGCCGGGCCCGCTCCGATTCTGGAGCCAACCGCCCGCCCCGCCTCCCGCCGCTGGAGCCAGCCGGTCTGAGCTCCCCGCCGCCCTGGCGGCCGCGTGCTGGGATGCACCGCCCGGAGCTCCCCACCGGCCCGGGCGCCGCTGCTGGAGCGCAGCCGGTCGGAGGCTCCCCGCCGCCCTGGCGCCGCTGCTGGAGCCAACCGGTCCGGAGCTCCCCTGCCGCCCTGGGCCGCTGTCTGGAGCCCAACCGCCCGGAGCTCCCCGCCGCCCTTGCGCCAGCTGCGGAGGCCAGCCGGCCCGGAGGCTCCCCGCCGCCCTGGCGCTCGCTGCTGGAGCCAGCCGCCCGGAGCTCCCCCACCGGCCCTGGCGCCGCTGCTGGAGCCAGCCGGTCGGAGCTCCCCGCCGCCCTGGCGCCGCTGCTGGAGCCAACCGCCCGGAGCTCCCCACCGCCCTGGCGCCGCTGCTGGAGCCAGCCGGTCGGAGCTCCCCGCCGCCCTGGCGCCGCTGCTGGAGCCAGCCAGCCAGAGGTGCCGCCCTGCCGCCCTGGCGCCGCTGCTGGAGCCAGCCGGTCGGAGCTCCCCGCCGCCCTGGCGCCGCTGCTGGAGCCAGCCAGCCAGAGGTGCCGCCCTGCCGCCCTGGCGCCGCTGCTGGAGCCAGCCGGCCGGGCTTCCTGCCGCTCTGACGCCGCTGCTGGAGCCGGCCGGCCGGGGCTCCCTGCCGCTCTGGCGCCACTGCTAGAGCCAACGGCTGGGGCTCACTGCCGCCCTGGCACCGCAGCTGGAGCTAACCAGTCGCCTGCGTGCCATTCTACGAAACCCGTCATAACAAGAAATGACAACCAGAACAGGTGCCAAGCTGTGAAGTTGAGATTTATGTTTGAAGTCATTTTTTTGTTCCCTCTCTGATTTTTGAGAAACACCCTACTTTATCATTCACAGTTTCGTCAGTTATTGAAGTTGTTTGTATTCTGGGATGACCACATATGGCGTGGTTTTGGCGACCCACTATTTTCCATGATTCTGTGTTCATCTGTCTCATGCCCCATACGTCTTACGTGGCCACTCAATGAAATGTAAAACTATGCACTTGTTGAAAACAACGCATCTAAGGATAGAGGATGCCTCAACACGTCTTAAGAACCAAACCCATGTCAAGCATCCCTTTCTGAGCAAGGAAACTTTGGCATTTCCTTCTTGATACCGACTTCTGCGGACTCCTCGCGTACGATGCTGCGGAAAAAGCGCCATGAGGGACGGGAAAAATCTGGAGCCTCACCTAGTGAGCGGATATTAGCGATGAGTGGATCATGGATTAACCTGGTCCATAGCGGTCGAGTTCGACAGCTGAGCGACATGTAAACATCCCGTCTGACAAGAAGGCCGTACGCAACGCTACCCGATGAACTGGATCGGCCTGTTTTGGGTGGAGGATTCAGGACACTCGCAACAAGCTTCGGTTGGCAAGCGCGCTGTGAACAAAGCCCGTGGAAAGCACTCGAGATAACTTTTCAAGAGGAGTGAAAGACGGAACTGCGTGGGCAGCAAAGAAGCACTGAACCTGTGACATGGGGATGTGAAACAAAATGACGCGTTTTTCTTAGAAAAATAAAATACTAATGCGAGCTACTACGCTGCCAGGCGCTGACTGTGGGGTCAACATCTGAGGTTACACCGGCCGGCCGAGACGGCCTGCCGACGTCGCGGTGACTGTGAGGTCGACATCTGAGGTTACACCGGCCGGCCGAGACGGCCTGCCGACGTCGCGGTGACTATGAGGTCGACATCTGAGGTTACACCGGCCGGCCGAGGTTGCCTGCCGACGTCGCGGTGACTGTGAGGTCGACATCTGAGGTTACACCGGCCGGCCGAGACGGCCTGCCGACGTCGCGGTGACTATGAGGTCGACATCTGAGGTTACACCGGCCGGCCGAGGTTGCCTGCCGACGTCGCGGTGACTGTGAGGTCGACATCTGAGGTTACACCGGCCGGCCGAGGCTGCCTGCCGACCTGGCGGCCACCCGGTTGGTCAGAACGGGAGGGGCGGCGCCGGGCCCGTGTCCAACGTCCCGTCACCGGTCAGCCGGGTGGTAAACCGGCACCGACCCTGAGCGCCGCCGGGCCGGCGTCGTACGGACGAGCCGCAGAGCCGCCTCCTCCGCCGGTCGGCGCCGCGGTCGGCGCACGGAAGAGCCGCGGGGCCGCCGCCTCCGGCCGGTCGGTGCACGGAAGAGCCGTAGAGCCGCCGCCGCCGGCCGGCCGGCGCCCCGGCCGGCGCACGCGCCCCAGAGACGGCCAGTCGGAGGGGAGAGGACATACTGCACGCCGCGGCGGCGGCGATGGAAGCTCCGTCGGCACGAGCTCGTGGACGGACAGTGGAGCTGGGGCGGAGAGCGGTCAGACGCTTGGCTGATAGGCAGCCGACTGCTTATACACGAGGGTGAGACGCCTGGTCAAGTTACCACCCAAAACATTAAACCCCAAATAACCCGCACTGATACAATCCAGCATCACAGTAAGCAGCAACGATGACTGCTCCCAGTTCTCACCACGCCACTAACAAAAGCCAACAAAGACGGGGCAAAGCCCCGCTTGATGTTCCATGCCACGTCAACATTCCACTCCAATCGACGGAAGTCTCCGGCTGGCCCGGACCCAGCGCCGCCCACGGCCTCACCCTCGGGGCATGCGCAGCGGACTCGTCCGCCCGCCGCACTCACCGAGTCGAGCAGCGAGCCGGATGAGTTGGCTCGCCGACCGGGGGAGACCGGGCCGTCGAGGCTATTGTCGCTGCCGTGCGAGGCTGCGTCGGCGCCGATGAATGTGTTGGTGTCGGCCGGCGGGGCGTCGGCGGCGCGCGCCGCCGGCCGCGCCGCCGCGTGCGACTGGAAGTTAGCCTTGAGGTGCGCTCGCGACAGGGGTCGGCTCAGCGATAACTCCTCGGGGTGCCGGATACCTGGGGCGGCGAGAAGCAGACTCATGCACCCGCAGCAGGTCAAGGCATCAGCACCGCTTCGCAAGGCGCCAGAGGACGTCATTCATCGCTGCCGAGGAGGAAACGCATGCAACGCCATGACGTCGGAGACTGACATCATCCCCGCTCCATGGAAGAGGCGCACTCGCCCGACCGCAACCGCAGAGCAGCGCGTACGCCCCCGCGCGGGACCGCAGAAACACTGCCAACACCCGCCACGGCGCAACCCGGGCCATCTGCCGGGCGCTCGGCCGGCTGGCCCGCCCGCCGTGCCCACCCAGCTGCTTGCAGAGGTCCACCACGGCGTCGAAGCAGGTGGCGCTGAAGTTGACGCGCAGGTCGACGTGGCGCAGATCCGGCAGCTGCAGTCGCAGCGTCTTGTGCATGGGCGTGAAGATGAGGCTGGCGTCGGCGTCCACGCTGTACTGGTCCAGCGTCGACTTGGTGCGCAGCAGCCAGCGGCGCCGCTCTGGCCAGAAGAGCGCGTGGTCCGACCAGTCCATACCGTCTGTAACACGGCCAACGACCCAGGTCAGATACTCGCTGGCCTCTGAGCCCGTGCGTCACGGGGGCAGTCCGGCCACTCCGCGCCGTCCCAAACCAAGCCCGCGCGAGGAGCCCACCGCTGACACCGATGTGAATAGCCTGTCAGCTGTCAGCAGGAGGGCCGCGAGGCCTCCCAAGCACGCCCACATGTCACTGGGTCTGACCTCAGAGGCTCTAACAGCCATCATCGCGATGCGGTTTGGCGCTAAGACACAAATTGTTGGCCTTTGTACTCAGCCTCTTTGGTCGTTTCCCGACACAGACACCAATCGAGATAACGCCATGCTGACGTCTGTGTTTAACAAACGAGTCGGTCACCAAGACAGCAAAGAACGCTTAAATAATTAGTTATCCCCCCACATCTGACGGGCATCAAACGCTGACGGCCGCCAAGGTCGGCCTACGCCGGCGATCGCTGCGCCGCTGCCTCGTCACCCGATAATCGGCCGGGCGAGTGATGACAGCCCACACGGATAATGGGAGATCGGCGCCAGCCATGGCGCTGTCTCCGACACGGTGGTCACTCGGCGCTCGAGGTCACCCACGGATAGTGGGAGATCTGCGCCAGTCATGGCGCTGTCTCCGACACGGTGGTCACTCGACGCTCGAGGTCACCCACGGATAGTGGGAGATCTGCGCCAGTCATGGCGCTGTCTCCGACACGGTGGTCACTCGGCGCTCGAGGCCCCCACGGATAGTCGGAGATCGGCGCCAGTCATGGCGCTGTCTCCGACACTGGTGGTCACTCGGCGCTCGAGGTCACCCACGGATAGTCGGAGATCGGCGCCAGTCATGGCGCTGTCTCCGACACAGTGGTCACTCGGCGCTCGAGGTCACCCACGGATAGTCGGAGATCGGCGCCAGTCATGGCGCTGTCTCCGACACGGTGGTCACCCGACGCTCGAGGCCCCCACGGATAGTCGGAGAACGGCGCCAGCCATGGCGCGATCGCAGTGAAATATTCCGAGCATCACACATGAAAACTGGTGAACACGATCGTGAAGTGACTAGCGCAGCCAGTCGGCCGGTCCATAAGGAGACAGACCGCTCTGCTGCTGTTCAGACCACACGCCGTACGCAATGGCTCACTGCAGCCAATCCGGCCGGCTCGGCTGGACCAAACCAGCTTGATCTCGAAATAGTCTGCACGAACTACTTTGAACGAGTCCGCAGGCGTCTAGCTCAGGAACAAGAGGGCTTTGTGTTTTAAAAGGAGCGGGAGTGTGCACTTCACTAGATTACCTTTAAGGTGGTTATTTCGATTCCCTATACAAATGCATAGCGAATCGACATTCCCTATACAAATTTAGAATACTCCCATTAAAGGAAGTTTTTCATGTTCGTACGGGGTTTTTAACTGAAATTTCCATTTTGAAGATCATTCGGTGCAATGCACCGCCCTGCTCTTTTTAAGACCTAATCCCTCAAGTCTCTGAACTACACACCCACAAAGATATGCCCACTATTTCGTGCGGACCATTCCAAGGCCATTCACGCATGCCAACAAGACAATGCCAATAGCCTTATTCGTTTTAGAATAGCCAGGAGAATGGACATATATATATATATATATATATATATATATATATATATATATATTGATGTTGATATTGATATTTCGGGTAGATGCTTCTATCCAAACGTATATCAGACTTGTCTTCGTTTCGACAGAGGCATGTAACCAAAATATCAACATATCGATCTCTCCATTCTCCTGCCTAGCCTACGAGGAATAAGGCTATAGAGCCGAGGTATTTATATGTATAATGTTCATCGTAAATGCATTTAGCAGCTTACGTAATTTGGAACCAAATGCTGACCATGCAAGCATGCATAACGCCATAGCAGCGTCCTTCAGATCCTGCCACCCTATAGATTCTAAGGCGTTCAAGGCCAGATTCGTTGAGCCGTTCAGATCTGGCGTTCATGTGGAAGACTTCCAAATATAGTGTACATGAATCGGGTCTCAGTCAATGTTAAGCACGTTGTGCAGCTTTCACTCGCGAATCACGTTTGCGCTACGTAATATACGAAGTTGAACATAATTATAGTTATTACTGAAACACGACTTATACTTTAATAACTTGATAACACACGAGTAGTGCCACAACCGGCCATGCAAGTGCAAGCAACGTCTTAAAATCACGGAGAAATCTGCAAGCACAACCCGTGAAACGACAAAACGCGAGCGCGTAACAATAGTTGGCTCCGCGAACACTTCCAACACCGCTCGTGCCATATCTCGGCGATTTTGACGTACGGGAAAAGAGCGCTGGGGTGGCACTTTCAGAAGGCAAGTTTGGCAGCACCTCAACGTCACACAGGCGTTCCATGACGCAATCATAAAATGACGCATTAAGGAGCGTATTCACTAAAAATATAAATATACTAGTGGCTACTCATGGCTGGAAACAGTTTTTTTCCACTTAAAGCATACAAATATTCATAATCGAGCTTATTTCACTACACCCGATGCTCGCTTTAACATCTCCAAATGTGGAGCATTCCCGTTAATGTCTCGAGCGCCCCACATAACATCTCGAGCGCCTCAAGGCCACATGGCCGGGTGCGATGAGAGACAGGATGTGAATGAGGCCGTGCAGACCTCCAGCCAGCCTGCGGAGCCCACTCCGCGGCGGAAACGGCATATCCCGCAATGGTCTCAATCTGAACAATGAGACGGGATGCGGCCGAACAGTGGTGGCGGAGACTGGCGAGCAGCGTGTTCTGCATACACTACACCCGCCTTTCAAGTATTCTGACCACAGGACCATTAGTACTTGGCGTCCGTCGCGAAATGAGCCATCAAGAGTAATCGATGCTGATGGCAGACCGTCAGTGACATGGGCTTCTGGGCGTCATTCAGCGGGTTCGGCGCAACTGGCGGCCCTCGCAGCGTCTCCGTAACCAGGACTGGTGTACATCGGATCAAAAGCTTCAGTCATTCCCTGCTGTTGGTCCATGAGCGCTAACTGCCTGTGCAGCGGCGGCTGCTCTTCGTCATACGTCCGCTCAGTGGCGTCCGTCAGAGCCGTCTGCGCGCCGCTGCCTCTGGAGGGAGGTCAGTCGCCCGGCGGCCCGGCCCGCCGCCGCCGCCCGTCAAACAAGGCCCGGCTGTCGGCGGCCCGGTACACTGGCGTGATGTCACCTCCCATGGACCGGTGCACGCCACATGTGCCGCGGCCGGCCAGCCGCCGAGGGGAGCGCCAACGAACCGCCGCACCGCCGGCCGGCCGACACCGGCGCGTCGGGGGAGCGGGCTGCACCGCCGCCCGGCGGCCCGCCCGCTGACGGCGGCCGTGCGGCATGACGTCATCCGATTACCGACAAATTGGACGGGATTCAAGTGGAGTGACGACATCCCGCGACATTCCGGCAACACGATTCATCGCCATGAATGGTAGTGAACCCTCGCAAGTTCACACGGCGGTCACATTGACGCAACCATACACTGCGATAACACCGGGTCATGCTGCAGCCCAGGTCTGCGCACGATCCTGCCTGGCAACCGCATGGTGGTGCAGGGCTGGCCCCGCACCGCGGCCACCGGCAGCCAGCCCTCTCTCTCTCTCTCACGGCCGAAAGGCGACACGCCTACTCAACTTGCGGAGCGAGCATGCGTAGCACAACGCGGCGTGACACGTCCATTTGACCTACTCGCAATGAGCCGCCCTGGTAGCCCAGTGGCGTATGCACTCCCACGGATGATCCACACATGAGTCAGTTAATAGTACCAAGTCATTCATGCAGCCAGTCCCATACCGTATCCCCTTTCCATGACAGAGTCTAACGACGCTCCACTCCGGAGTGGCCAGCCGGGCGGTCCCGGGCGGAGCGTACTCCGCTGGCGCATGGGGAGAGAGCATTTGACCACCAGCTGCAGCCCGGCCTGAGCATGGTCGGAGCGCAAGTACGGGGTCGTTAGACTGCTGCAGCCGTGAGCGGCCGGCCATCGTCAGCCTGTCTGCCGACCGCCCGGAGAAGGCGGCCCGGTGTGTGACGCCACCCGGCCTCAGGGACTGCCCGGCCCGCAGGGCAGACCCCACACACCGGCGCGGAGACACCAGCACCAACACCGCCTGCCCGGCCCACAGGGCAGACCCAACACACCGGCGCGAAGACACCAGCACCGACACCGCCTGCCCGGCCCACAGGGCAGACCCCACACACCGGCGCGGAGACACCAGCACCAACACCGCCTGCCCGGCCCACAGGGCAGACCCCACACACCGGCGCGGAGACACCAGCCCGACACCCCGCTGCCCGGCCCACAGGGCAGACCCAACACACCGGCGCGAAGACACCAGCACCGACACCGCCTGCCCGGCCCACAGGACAGACCAGACACACCGGCGCGGAGACACCAGCGCCGACACCGCCTGCCCGGCCCACAGGACAGACCAGACACACCGGCGCGGAGACACCAGCACCGACACCGGTTGTCGACCGCATGAGTAAGCCTGGCGCCGTCCGGGACGGACGGCGGCGAGACATGACCAGTCACGCAGCAGATGGCATGACCAGCCATGCCGGAGATACGATGGCGAGCCCTGCCGCGACAGTGCAGCGACACCGCACCGTGACGACAGTGGCACGCCGAGAGGCGACAGCGACCGGTGCACGTCGTCTTAGAGGGAAGCCATTCTGGCCTACGGTGGGGCCGACGGCTGCCGACACCAGCGACGCCCGCAAAAGGATCCAAACACGCTAAACACCAGCCGTTCCCCATAAGCCAATGGAAGCCCATTCCTTACTGAATGGGGTAAGCTCATTACCTATCTGTGACGTCACGACCCAAGACCACTCCTCGACCGAGAAGCGAGGTACGCGCGTTTGTTTACAAGTAAGTCGTCGGTGCTGGCATATCCACGCATAGCAACGGTCGATGCGGTTGGCGGTCCGGTATGTCCGGCCAATAAGGTGATCTTAATCTCACGCGGATAGTGTGATCGGTAACGGTGCCTTTAGCCACACAACTTGGCACTAACTGCCCATTCGCGTTATGTTCGAGCGCGCCAATCCTGCGCGCATTCGGCTCCACGGGGTTCAGTCAGCTGATTCCACAGGATTCTACAGGATTCCACTTGTGGCAATATTGAAATTTTAGGCGTTCTCCACTGACGTGTATCTATGACGTCACCCCAATGGGCAGAAAACCCATTGGGGTGAAGTCAATGAGTGAAGTCAAAAAGAGAAGTCAAAGTCAAAGAAAACGGGCCGTAAGTCAATGAGGATCTAAACGCAGATGTCAACATGCCAAAGCAAGTTCTATAACGCGAAACGCCAATTTGACCCGTGTTATTATTCACACGGTGTAACCACGTAAAAAGGAAGCTTATTAGATTCGCAGATTCGCGCTAGTATATCAATCACGGCCAGCCTGGCCGATTTGTCACAAACGTCAGTCCTGCTTGTCAGCCATAAGCTGGCGTACGTCGGCGCGACGTTCGTCACTCTTCTTTCACATCACAGAGGGTGCGAGCCGCCGAGTTTATTTTTTCACACCATTTCAGATCCGCGCGTGCACATATTTCATCTGATTTCGGAGCACATGCGGCCCACGTGACGCTTTCCGGGCAAGAGTCTTTGCCCTCAGAGCCTGTAACTGGCGTCCCGTCTCAACGGGAAGGATTTATACCAGTAAATCGTGCCTGCAAGGGAAAGCTGCCTGAACCGTACAAACACCGATGTCCCTCGAACATGGTGGCTGGGTGGGAGCGCAGTCACGCAGGATACACCAACATAGCGACGTGAAGTCAGTTTGGTTCAAAGAATATCCGGATACAAGGCGGGTGGTGGGATGGGAGCGCAGTCGCGCAGGATACACTAACATAGCGACTGTGAAGTCAGTTTGGTTCAAAGAATATCCGGATACAGGGCGGGTGGCCATGGACGTGAGCGGAAAACAACAATCTCAGCATGAAGCGCGCAAGGGTGCTTCAGCCGCAGTGGCAAACCAATCTGCGGGCCACGCAGACAACCCTTCTTATGACTTCATATGAAACAATCTTGACAATTGATTCTGATGACGATCTTGCTGCGTTAATGTACAGCTACCGGAGCACACAACCGTCGAAGAGGGCTGCGATGCGAATGTGGCTGAATGGTACCGAGCTATTCTGCGCCGTGGTTAGCTCCTGTCCTTCACGGCGTGGTAGCTCCTCGCCCTGGTGGAGGACAGGGGACCCGCGAAGCCCGGATAGGCATTAGCGAGAGCAGGCCCTGCTGGCCAGGTAATCGCTCTGTCGCCGTACCACGGGATCAATCCACTTGACTGAACCAAATGACTTGTCATCACCTGACAAGTACAAATCTTAGTCCCCAACCAAGGCGAGCAATGATCAGGCACGACTTAGTGATTCCCATGCATTGCGCAACACACGGCAACATCTGAGCGGAGACAACAGGGAGACTAAAAACGACGAAACGCGGCGCCGGTTCGAGTCCGGATCTTCTCGGTCAACTCCGCCGATTTGGTGCCGCCGTCACCGGTCTTATCTGCTCAGTCCATTGCCCGTTCAGTGGATAGCACATGACTCAGGAACAGCGCTGCATAGACAGCGGCCTTCCAGCCCGTTAGAGCGGCCAGCGCGGCTGAGTTCGGGGTGACCTTCGTCTGAGCTGACGCGTCGGCGGCCGGCCGGACGGCTAAACAACACGGCGCGCCGCCGCCACAAATGGTCACGGGCTCTGGCGGCGCTGTTCTGACCGGCGCCACCACGGCCGCGGCTCGGCCTGCCACCGGGCGAGATAAGAGCCCAGCCGAGCCCCGCAGCCCCAGCGGCACCGGACAGCGCACGACAAGGCGCCGGCGCCGCCTGCTGACCCGCCGACAGGCACAGCTGCGTCTGCCGGCTGAACCCGATCGCCCCCCGGCAGCGCTGAATGAGCTAACTGACGACCGGACGCCGCGACGGCCGGCCGGCGCCACGTGCCCGGGCGCACGGGTGACGCCCCGCCGGGGTCACGGGAGCGCCGCCGCCGTCAGCTAGGTCATCCACCAGGACGCTATTCGCGTCGGCCGCCCGCCGCCGCCGGCGCAATGCAAACATATCGCTGATGATCTGCTGAGAGGTCGGATGAGCGAGCAGACGGGCGGGAAGCGTCAGTACCCCGCCGGGGGACCGGAGGACGGGGGAGACGTCGGTATCCCACCGGGAGAGGGAGACGGGCGGAAGCGTCGGAGATCGGAGGGAGGTGGGAGACGTCGTATCCCACCGGGGAGGGAGTACGGGGGGAGACTACCCGCCGGATCGGGAGGACGGGTGGGAGACGTCAGTATCCCGCCGGGGAGACGGGAGTACGGCAGACGCAGCGGCGACGGCAACCGGCCGAAAAGACGCCACGTCATAACCCAGACAGATCATAGCGGCAAAGCGTCCAGCCATGCCCGTCAACAGAGGCGATGGGTGGAGCTTTAAGGCCGTGGTCAGAAACACGGTGTTTTTTTTATCGCGAAGATAGCTTAATATACGCGACCTAGCCTTGGCAATGATCACGAGGAAAAGAGCGTTAGCGGTTCCGCGGTCCGTGCCATGCGGCTGCACGTCGCTCGGCTCCACGCGGTCCGCGGGCACGCCCGGTCTGCGGACGGCCGGCGATCCCCGGCAACGGAGCCGGCGGCGCGTGCCGAGCGCGGATGACCCAGCCAAACATGGCGCGCCGGCTGGGGGCGCCAGGCGCCGCCGCTGCGGTCCCGAGAGGAGCAAGACGGCCGTGTCGTGACTCCGTGCGATGACGTCAACAACGTGACTACACGAGAGGACGATACAGGATCGCTTGTGTGAATAATTCACCGTGACGTTCGTTGTGCCACTGTTGACTGTAGCCACAAAGGCTAGTATACGTCGTGATTGTTGTTCAGACCCTGACATCATACCCCACGGTTAGGTGCTGTCTTCTGACAGTAAGGCTGGCGGTTCGAGAGATCCACATCTAGAACCGGTGTTCAAAATAAGAGAAAAAAAACAGTTAAACCTCTTAGCCAGTGCGGTTCGGGCCACTTGGCCGGCCGAACACATACCGATCGAACGTGGCAGCTGCCGACAACGATTGCGTAATCTACCCCCTTTTTCATTTAACCCACAAAAGCACTTCACTTTTATGGGCGTTTCAGCTCCAGTGTCACCACCACCCGGCCATTGAGATCAGTGTCACCACCTCCTGGCCAGTGATGGCCAGTGTCACCACCACTTGGCCAGTGACGTCCAGTGTCACCACCTCCTAGCCAGTGATGGCCAGTGTCACCACCTCCTGGCCAGTGACGTCCAGTGTCACCACCACCCAGCCAGTGAGAGCAGTGTCATCACCACCTGGTCAGTGACGGTCAGTGTCACCACCTCCTGGCCAGTGACGGCCCGTGTCACCACCACCCGGCCAGTGAGATCAGTGTCACCACCACCTGGTCAGTGACACAGCACAGTGACTGGCATGATGGTAATGCTGGCGGAAAGGAGTCACCATCGCCGAAAATGACGGTCGGGTCGCAAAGAAGCATCACGAGCTCACAGGATCCGTGACACGACCAAGCCGCCCGCTCCCCACCTCTGTCGCTTGATCTGGATCCAACAAACGAACAGCACGTTAACAGCTGACCATATAGAACAGCTGTGTCCCGTAGAACCAAGCGTTTGTCGCCTTTTTGCTGTGTTTTAGATGCTGAGTGATATCCCTGGTGCAGATTATGGAGTTAAGAGAAACTGACCGCCTGGTACAGGCTATAAGTTGTAGTAAACCCTCGTGCACGTTACGACGTTCAGCGCAGGTTATGATACTGAGAAAACCACCTGGTGCAGGTAACAATGCCGAGTGAGCACTTGGTGCGGGTTCACCGCTCACTTACCCATGCCCTCGACCAGCTTGAACATGACGCCACCGACGTGCATGTCCCCGCGGACACGGACACGCTTCTCGATCTGTAGGTCCGTGACCAGCACGGACAGCATCCAGAAGCCGTCCACCTGCTGGCCGTCCACGCGGAATCCGGACGCCATCTGCGCACCCAGGCCCCGGCAGTGTCACAAGGGAGTCATGCGGGTGTGGGGCGTCCACACAGTGAGACAACATGGCCCAGGCCCCGGCAGCATCACGAGGGAGTCACGCGGATGTGGGGTGTCCACACGGCGAGACAACATGGCCCAGGCCCCGGCAGTGTCACGAGGGAATCATGCGGGTGTGGGGCGTCCACACAGTGAGACAACATGGCCCAGGCCCCGGCAGTGTCACGAGGGAATCATGCGGGTGTGGGGCGTCCACACAGCGAGACAACATGGCCCAGGCCCAGCAGTGTCACAAGGGAGTCATGTGGGTGTGGGGTGTCCACACAGTGAGACAACATGGGGGAGTTCCAGTGCACTTGACCATGTATCCCCCAATGCTCCACATGCCAGGGTACACTGCATCCTCAGTCATGAGCTGGTATTGCACGGCGACCAGGCCCTGGCCACTGGTCCGGACAGGACACTCAGATGTCTCACCACCTACAGTATGGTGGTTTGATGTCTCACTATGTACAGCATGGTGGTTTTCTGTGAAACAAGTCCTGTGGTCTTAAATAACCTGGGTGACCATAACATTTAACACTTATTCTATCATTTATTTTTCTTTGAAGAACAAAAATGGATGGGGATGGGGCAGGGCATACACTCCTGGGTACCCCTTGAATATGCTTGCATTCACATTTGAGATCAGTTCATGGTTGTCATGGTCTAGAAAACTACTGCAGAAGAGAGTGAACAGAGAATTGAAACCTTTTTATAGCAGGATCCCACAAACGACTCCGGACCAGTGTGCAAGAATTGACTGAACTCATCCCCATGATGGGTGCCAACTGGCAGTTGTGCTCCCCCACTATGAAACTGATGTATGCCCAAGGGCTTCCAAAGGGGGAAGCATGCCAAAGGGGAAGCTCAAGGTGGAGGTCCCCACCAACACCATCACAATTTCTCCAAAGGTTATACTTGTGGTCATTCCCATATCAGACATGTTTTCATGAAGTAATGAAAAGCTGTTGGGATTTCTCAAAAGCATGTAGTGAACAAGATGCTTTGTTTTTATATACCAATTTTGCACCTGGCTTAAAATAGCAGTGTGCTTAAATGTGTCACCTCTGATACAACTTACTTCCCAAAATTATCTGAGGGTTACTTAGTTATGCAATGGCATTCTAAAAAGGTGTCACCCTTTAATCTGCATGACAATGCTATTAGCCATTGTTTTAGTTATTAGCTATTAATAGCATTAGCTATTAGCTATTCACCATCTAAATACCCCAGTAATTGATCTCTCATTTTGAAGTGTACCAAACTAAAAATGCAAATTAATCATATCACCACAGAGTATAAGGTGGTAGCCTAATCTTGCTTGAGTGTGGCCACTGTGAATGCATTACAACTTTTGATAGGCATCCATGAGATTGCATGATTTTTATAGAATATCTGGAGGTAACTCAACAGCTTTGTCTTTTAAGCATAATATCCAATAGCATCCTAACACATGTAGTTGCCTAGAGACCAGAGTCTAGAAATGATGGAAGTTTGAGATGGTGATGCAATTGCCCTTCTTTAAGAAACCTGCCCTACAATGTTACACAGAAACACCAACTTACATGCTTGATTTTCCCCCTGCCCAACCACCAAATGCCTTGGAACATTTGCTGCAGGTCTGTGACATTATCAGCACAGAAACACATAGTGTTTTCATTCAGACTCAACTAGAGAACAACTTGTCTCACAACTTGCAAGCCACTTGTTGCAATGCACAGTTCTCAACCAGCAACGAATAAGTGACACAAGGTGATGGATTAGGGTACATCACACGAGCACACAATACAGGAGATTACAAGCTGATTTCTCACCTTTCGACTTGATGGTGCTCCGACTCGAGTGACACCACAGCGGTACCTTGTTTACAGCACACCTTTTTATGGACTAAGAGCAACGATGCGACATGGACTTTATGCACCGGACATGTAGACTGGTTTGATATAAGAATGATGGACTAAGGTATGGACAGAGTAAGACTGTCAACACCCATCAGTCCTTCCTGCTACCCTTGGGCTCTCCGCGCCACTCCTCCACAACCACTCACTCCCACCACCTTCGCTCAAATGACAGCGCGCAGACCGCACCGGCCTAGTCAGCTGAGCGCATCCTGAATGTAAACAACAGCAGCAGCTGACTGCAAGAAACGTGACTAGCAAATACTGAATGTGATGCTACGCGAGCGCCATGTCTTAAACTGCAGAGTGCATCTTTGTTCATATTTTTATTTATCTGCGTATTGCAACCACTAAAAAAGCACAACAGAAGACAATATATCAAGAACGATCAGAGGGGCGCAGCCCACACACTGGTAAGGGGGAAACACGGTTAGCAAAGGCCCCATGATGGTGAAGCCCCCGCCCCAACAACAAAGTATCACCGGACACAGTGCCCTCAACTTCAAGGAAGCCCAATTTTGGGGGATTATTTATGTTCTTCAACTGCAAAAAAGCCGAAAATATCAAAAGATGCAATTCTGTACATATTTTGAATCAACGAACTGAAACGATGGTGCATGAAGTGGCTACATTGAATAATCCGTCCGCGCTGTTGGCTTTTTACAGTTGAAAGTGCACTGCGAGTCCATTCAAATGATATATACTTAAAATTGAATGCTTGCCAAATGACATGTCAGGTGGGGCAAGCCAGCTTGTCATTTGGCAAGCATTCGCTTTTAAGCAAATGTCATTTGCATGGTCACACAGTGCACTTTCAAATGTAAAAGCCAACAGCGCGGACGGATTAATCAATGACACTTACGCGCCTAGGCGTTGGCCATACACACAGCATGCATATATTTCGGTCAAAAAACGTTCGAGAATTTCCTTCATGCAGCAGTAGCGGCGAAATGTTGGCTGTCAGTCATGTGTCGGTCGGTTGTCGACGGCGGTCCGCCGAAAGGCCGGAATTCTTCGGTGGCCTCAGGCCGCTGACTTCATTAATAAGAAAGCATTCTGAAGTAAAAGCTAATCAATTGCTGAACTCCAAAGCAACTGCCGGTCTGTATGTCATAAACCGACTTCCAGCAGCATAACGCTGAGCAAGAGGTGAATTTGAGCGCAAAATCGCCTAAGTAAGCAATGTCCTTGAACGCCTTGATATTGTCATCAAACCGTCGGCCTCATATATCTGTTTTTCACGACAAATGTTAAACGTGTTTCAAAACGGCAAAAGGCTTTACTGGTATACCTTTGAGTGTGCAAATTAAGGAGCTTTTGCGTAATACAAGGCCACGTTACGTTTAGGTGACCGCGTGGGCTCTGACTGAACCCAAAGTGGGCGTCTCGCTGTCCTATGTCAGTAGACAAGGCGAGATCCCAGACCAACTTTAGGCACGACCCTCGGAGCTCATCGCCTCGTACGTGAGGTGCAAACCACACCTACAGACGGCTCCAAAACGGACACAGGAGTAGGATCGGCGTTTGCAAACCGCCGATTCAAAACCAGCACTGACATATGCAGTCCAGGTCGAGCCCACATGGGCAGCCCACTTACGTCCATGCGGCAACCATATGATCCATCACATGGTATGGGGGTGGCTACGGTGTGCATATATGTGCCATATGGGCTCGTCCATCTCCCAACCACATGGTGCTCACATAGGTGGTCCCATATTGGCTTGCGTTCCTCTAGACCACGTCGTATCCACATGGATACCAGATGGCTTACGTTTCTCTAAGCTGCGTGGTGTTCACATGGGCACCATCTGAGTTCGCTTATCTAAAACGTACGTTATGTCGACATGGGCACCATATGAAACCACCCATCTGTTAACGCCATTGGGACCATATGGGCGCCATGGGAAGTCCTGGCACTTTTGGGCCCATCATGGTCGACAGACGATACCCCCTTCTATTGACCATGCTGTTCCCACGAGGGTGACAGAGCAGCGCCCTTTCGTACCGCGCAAGCGTTATGCATGTTGTGTGCACAGTATATTCAACGTTCACTCTTTAATTCAACTCTCCGTTTTCTGGACACATCAAGCGTGTGATAAGAAATACTTATCGTGCTACGGGCAGCGATAAACAGCAAACAACATAGAGAGATGGCTTTAATGCACGTTGGAATATATGGGTACGATTATAACAGATTACCATGTTTTGACTCCTTTTTTCCCAATTCTCGACAACATGTCACAAAAGGAACGTTTTTGTTTTATCATGTGTTGAAATTATTGCCGGTTTTGTTCTATACGCATACCGGAAAAGATAGCACCAAACGTTTTAACTCGATGCCACCAGACACGGAACATGTATTGCACGCGTTAATTGGTACGCACGCCCCTCATCCGCGTTATAAAGACACAAAGACATAAAGACATCCAGCCAACATGAAGCCACGAGGGCCCATCGAGGCTGATCTACGTCAGATTCCATACACATCTTCCACACTAATCTTATCACCTGACCTGCATGATTTTAGCTATAAATGAGGTCTTCAGACCAATAGACCTTGTCCAAACAGTCTTTAAATGGTGCTAGGGAGGGACTTACTACAACTTTGTTTGACAGCCCCTCCCAATTGTTCACTACACTTCTATATGGCACCTGCCTCTTCATACTTAGACTTGGTGTTCACGACGGTCAGATCTGAACGAATAAACAATCGCATTTTCATTGGCATTTATCGCTGCATGTCTAAGAGAATATCAGAATTAAATGTCATTATTTCTGTGTAATGGATGCCTGGGTGAACTTGAAATAGTCTGCACGAAAAAGTCTGCACATATCGCGGGCGTGTAGTCCAGAACCTGGAGAGGGTTAGGTGTTTAGAACAGCACGGCCTTAAACTGTGCGGAATGATCTCCAAGATGGTTATTTCAGTTCAAAACCCCACGCAAATGTGTAACACTCCTTTTAACTGTAATTGGTGCAAAACGGCCTGAGAAGTCGGCCCGCCCTGAGACCCCAGACATCATCAGCATCATCGGATGCCCTACGGCATGTGGATCGACCGCGCTTAAATTCTGTTAACGTCAGAGGACAAGACGGACGGTGCCGTAAATCTTACGCCGTAAAATACATGCGTAGACCCGAAATTCTACGATCGCACGATAGACATATATATATATATATATATATATATATATATATATATATATATATATAGACATAGATAGATAGATAGGGCCAGCGCTCACAGCATGAACTATCCTTTACTACGGCACTGATCCCAGACATCGGTCTCATTCAATAGACCATACTAAATTTTGAAGGGAGAATAATGATTTGTTTTCAGTTTGCATTCAAAACTTGCTGTTTTGCGTTGATGATCTTTGAGTTATATGTATAGCCATGCGGCCAATAATGACGAAAAGAAGCGTAAGCAGCAACACTGTGTAGCATTCAGTTGAGGTCTCTACCTAAAGTTTCGGAAAAGTCTTCTTATGCTCATGCCCAATCCCAGAATTTTACGACCATCTGCACAAACCCCAAATGCTACCCATCCCATATGGGTATTCACGGGATCATCCCACCCGTACAGTTTCCTTTTGTCGAGCACCCCTTTTCAGAATCGTCCGCAATGGAGCTTTTAAGATGCTTTGGCTTTTAAAAATTAACACCAAGGATTTTGTAACGCGTTTGGTTTGACCCACATCTTTCCTGCATAGTCCGCCCACTTATATCTTAACATATGAAACCTGGAAACTCCTAGACTTAATCGTCCATATATAACAGGGATGGTGGAAAATCAAAGGTTCAACCAAAACGTAAGCAGAATGTTACGCAGCCACGCTGCTTATGACGTCCCATTTGAGGAACCAGCGGCTTGAGAATAGTGCAAAGCTGCGTCAACAGGTATCTGAAGTTTTATCCTGCCCTAGGTGGTAGTAGCTGAATATAGGCCTATATTATCCTAAGTCTCTCACTTTGAATCATCTAAGAATTAGAATGTGCGAACATACGTGTACATGCAAACGAATTGAAGCAAATGGCCATCACGCGTCACGCTTCATTTAGACATGCAAGCAAGTTGAAATGAACAGGCATCACGCATCCCCCATCAATTATGCATGCAAATGATCTCAATTAAACAGGCATCGCACATCACGCGTCAGGCATCACTTAAACTATGTGAAAAACATGTACGGACATAGTCTATGTCGGGGAGTCCACGGGCCCTATTCGTTTGAAATATGATGAACACCTGCGAGATGGTAAAAACGAAACAGGGCATACCCCTTTCGGTGACCTTTTTTTTAGCAAAACACACTCAGGCTGAAATCCAGAGAGGTATGGACCCTGTGCCCCTTTTAAATCCCAAAGCCATCTGCAGATCAGGGGACCACCCGGACAGGAAATACGTGAATTTATCCTTGTAAAAAACCGGTGACCAAACCTTAACCTACAGGGCTCGACATGGTCGATGATGAGAACGTGATACGTGCCTTGATGTGGGATGTATGTTAACTTACACTAGTTAACGTGTATGTGATGCCTGATGCGTGATGCGCGATGTCTGCTTAATTGAAATCGCTTGCATGAATAATTGATGCTTGCTGTGATGACTGTTTACTTTAACTTGCTTGTGTGGTTGAATGGAGCGTGATGCGTAATGCCTGTTCACTTGAACTCGTTTGCACGTATACGTATTTCATGCATCCCAATTCTTAGTTAGATATGCACTGTATCGTGGTAATGGCTGGCAATTACTCCTTGTTAAATCCCCTGAATGTTGGTGCCCTGTAAGAACTGTGGCTCGCTGTTTAAAAGAGAACTGACAAATCGAGCCGGATCATTGGCAGATACTTTTGAATTCATTTCTGCTATTGTTTCGACAAAGGAATGTTGCCGAAAAATCACCGCATCCATATCCTCATTTTCCCGGTTTTTCCTCCGAGGAGTAAGGCTATTACTACTGTCTTATTTATGTGAATAATGCTCCTCGCACATGCACTGAACAACTTATGTCAAGCCCTCCACTTATTAATTTTTTGCCCCAGTTTTGGAGGGCCTGTTCATCAAGGACGAGTTTCAAAACACTTCGAAAGTACTTATTGCAGCCTATCGTTGTTTTAAAAAGGTTTTGTCTTAGATTTCAGTATATGCAACATTACAGGCCTACCACCAACTCATATTCAAAGACATAGCAACCGGAATGGAGAGGGGCAGTGGGTTAGTCCTCTGAATTGAAATCTGGGCGGTCACCCACTCCTCACTTTGGGGTTTGAAATTTGGAGAATTAATTTGAAATTTGGAGAAATTGGAAATGAAAATAGTCCATTCTGGTAAGTTAGGGGTCCTTTTGAGCTTGAATATATTTTGGAAGCCTACAAAAGTCAATTCTGACCTTTCAAGGCTCATTCCGGGCTATATAGACTGACAGAGGACAATTCTGAGAGCACGGAGTGTCTAGCCTGACCTTTAGAGGACCCATCATGAACTGTGGGGACACATTATTGACTGCGGGGGAACGTTATTGACTGTGGAGGGCCCATTCTGTCCTGAAGGGGACCCATTCTGGTCAGTAGGGGCACATTCTGGCCTGCAGAGGAGCCATTATGACTGCAGATCGTCCATTTGTACCTGAAAAGAGGCCCATTCTAGCCAGTGTGTGTGTGGGGGGGGGGGGGGCATTCCAATAAGTAGGGGCCTGTTCCCAACTGTGAAGGGTTTAACCTGGTGTATACAGGGCCGTTCAAGCTTGCAGAAGGCTCGTTATTGATTATAAAGTGCTCATCCTGGCCTCTAGAGAGCCCATTATTGACCGTCGAGGTGCCCATTCTGGCCTATAAAGGAGCCCATTTGGCCTGCACCAGACCAATGATTGACTGGAATGCCCTATTGGGCTGTAGAGATCCCGTTCTGACCTTTAGAGGGCTTATTATTGACTGCGCCCGCACAGTGGCACGGGCAGTTGGGACGGGGGCACAGGGGCCACGTGCCCCTAGGTTCCGAGGAGTGCACACGGCCTTTCAGGTCTAGCCGGGGCATTCCAGGTTACTCAGGGGCTCTTCACGTTGGTTTCGGTTAATCCATCGACACGCTCGTGATATGCTCATGGGCCCTCTATATTTGCCTGGGGCCCGTTCAACTTCCTGTCACTGGCGCAGGGCTCTACGATCTTGTCGCCCTTCTAATTTCTTTGGAGGGCCCTATGCTTTTGACAGGACCCTATTTGTCAGCCCGCTCGGACACACCCCATCGCTCGGGGGCCTCCACATTGGGTTATGGGTATTTCCTGTTTGAACGGAGAGCTCCACGCTCTTGTCGGGGACCCATCCGTTACCCAACTTTGGCGCACTGGACTGTTCGGGGGCCCTACACGTTGGGCATTGGGTGCTTAATATTTGAGTATAGGGTCTTGCCATAGTGGGGCCCTACTATCCATTAACTTACCTGGGCGACTTTAATCGATCAAGGGCACTTCACGAATTCTTTACATTCGCCCGCAAGATCCCATAGGTTATTACCGGGTCCATATGCCAGGGTGCACTCGGTTGCTCATGGGCCCTTCATATTGATATCGGGTGCTTCTACTTGATGGGATGCCCTGGGGTGTTGCTAGGGCCAATATAATGTAACGCTCCGAGGCATTCGATGCTCAGGGGCCCACTACATTGATCTGGGGCTCTTTCCCTTTCGGCCCATTTGCGGAGGACCCTTCACTATTGTCATGGCCCTTTCTGTTAACTTGGGCGGGCACTCTTAATCGCGCAGAGATATTAATTCATGCACACTGGTCTTCAGAAATTTCCCTTTGCTGAGAGGGCCCTGTGCTCAGGCCGGGATTGGCTGTGGACTTTTCCGTGTGTGTCATTGGGGTTTTACGACGCACTCAACTGCCGAGGCTATATGGCGCCAGGCCACGTGGCGTTAACGCAGGCACGTCAGCCACTACACTACCGCCCCCCTCCCCTGGGCTCTTCCGCTGAGTCAGAAAGGTCTGATTGTGTTGACGAAAGCCCCACGTGTGCTTGCGAACGCCAGGGCGTTTCGCCTGGTCTTGTGTACGGGCCTGACTGGATCATAGGTCCGAAGTCCGAGATCATAGGATGATTTATATTGGCACCAATTGGCCTGAGAGCAAGCAGTCGAATATGCGTCGCTGAAATTTTAACGCGCGCCCGGGTGGTCGGTTGGATACCCTTCGCTCGGGTAGGGGAGAGCGGGGCAATTTAACCCCTAAGATCTCGGGAACTAAGAGAGCTAGAGACGCCAAATTCACAGAATGTGTTGATCTGTACGTGAACTCTTTCAGGATCAAAGTTTGAGGTTCCTGGGTTATGACCTTCGGGTTAAATAAGGTAAAACAAGGTCAAATTCCAGATTGGTCTTCAAAGGGCCCCTGGAACTAGTCAACTGTTCTAAGAAAAATGTCACACGCTCACTTAATGTCACTGACTATGTCTGACCCTCTAACACGCGCCCGAGTGCCGGTTGGACACCCTTTGCTCGGGTAGAGAGGGTCAATTCGACCCCCCTGATATATCGGGAACTAAGAGAGCTAGAGAGACCAAATTCTCAGGGTGTGTTGACCTGTACGTGAACTCACTTAGGTCAAAAGTTTGAAATTCCTGGGTGATGACCTTCAAGTCAGATAAGGTCAACCAAGGTCAAATTCCAGATTGGTCTCCAAAAGGCCCCTGGAACCTAGGCAACTGTTCTAAGCAAAACTGTCACACGCTCAGATAAGGTCAGTGACCTTGCTTGACCTTTTAAAGGTCATGATGACCAAAATGATGTAAGACTGCCGTGAGTTTTGCATTTGGATAAGCGACAGAGTACGTCAGGCAGTATGTTCCTAAACACAATATGTTGACCTGGGTAATTTTGGGTCAGTGACCTATTCTGACCTATAATAATTCCATGGAAGTTGTATAATGCGGTTCCTGCTACCCATATATTCGAAATGAGCGCCAGAAACCATCTCATACAGCGAGCCCAAGAGCAATAAAACAGCTTGGTTTTGGCCTTGGTCTGACCCTCATGCCTGACCCTAAGTCAATGCTTTTTGTGTATTCAATAGCTGTGTTGCCTAAGAAAGTATTTCAGAGATGTAGGGCTTCGTCTAACAAACCGTTGTTTGATCGGATTGAACGACTCCCCAGAAGGTGTCTTCGCTGAAACCATGGCTCAACTTTGACCTGCCATAGATCAGCGACCTTAGAAGGTACATCTAAATTTTTGCTGTCAAACGATCCGCCATTCAATTGTCTACAGCTCTACCAAATTTGGCGCGTCTACGCCGCGCCGTTCGAAAACCACTCCGGGAAAACCTTCGGGGCGGGGGAGGGGCAATTTGATCCCCACCCGAGCGCGTGTTAAGCGTATTGTCGAACATACTTTTACGCACCACCGACGTCGCGCATGTTATTTCTGTTGATTACTTAATTTATGACACTCACTTCACTTATGCATCATGCTCTTAATACATTTTGAATGCTAGGGTATTTTGTACTCCTTCATAAGTAAAAGTCAGACAGTCCTCGCATCGAGCCCTACATGATGACCACGTGCACCTCCAGAGTCGGATAACGCTGATAGTCATGGCTCCTTGAACGAAGGCCGGCGCAGTCGTTGCCATACTCGTCATAGTTCATCCCCCAACTACGAACAGCCCAGCGTTGGTGGTTTGTGACGAAACCGACCCCTGAGGAGCCGTAAACATGTCGAGTGTAAACTCCTGCACTCGCTTTCTAGTGCAGCTGCTTCCGACGGATGCTAAATGTCAAATAGGTCAGACTGGCACAGTTTATATCCCAAAAATAAACACATTTCTCAAAGCTGCCACAGTCTCATGGTTCGATATGGGATATATCACGTGACACATCCACGAAGGTGACTGATAATAATCCTTTGTTCACGAAGATGAGTGCTTACACAGTAAGGCATGGGAAAGGTAACGTAAATGAGACAGATGGGGAGGTCCTGGATAGGTTGTGAGGACGTATCAGAATCAAACCGGAAGTACACAAGTCAGCGGCTTCTGGCATGCTGCCAGAATAAAGTGGCCACATCTAATTACAAGTTGCATTATCCCAGCACCTCAATATCTGTTCAGTCTATCAATACAACACATGCAAGGAGGCCTTGCAGCAATGCCTGAAGATATCGTGACCCTATCATTGCACAAACGGATGTAAACCGACTCAGAAAGTGTCCATTCACCTCGCACCATTCTGAACATGTCGTAGTGGCCCGTATTGCGGTGCATGATGAGCTTTCGTGAGATGAGTTTTGTGACCCATACTCATCTTTATGATCACACTCACATGGGAATGGTCACCAACATGACCGATAAACACGCAGTTGCGACTCGCAAGGGCCATGAGACCGTGTAAACCATCACCATCAAAATGTCACGCCTGAAGTCTCCCTCCAGGCGTGGTGGAATCGTGCGAATGAACGCTTCCCGCAGGCGCCTCCGCTGTCGCCTGCGCCATCTGGCAAGTCGCGCGGGCATAACTACGAACTAGCATTTCTAAGCTGCACCACTAGATGTCAATCGTATCGGATGGTCATGTAGTTGGCTCTGCCATTCTCGTTCGTATAGCCCATCTTCGAGTAGAAAGGTATCATGATATCCTTGCAGTCCAGAGTGATCTTGTAGCAATGCAGCTTCTTGGCCAGCAGGTTGATGACTGCTATCAGACTGCACAGAAGGACGGTAATTTAGACATGAGCGAAAAAGTCACAGAAATGCGCCACGGTCCCACCAGATTAAGGTCGGGTCCTGTCTGAACTACCGCACCAATGGCACCAACGGACGCATAATGCAGCATTTCGACCGCACGAGATCTCACGACAAAAAGATACCGATACTTGTCCAGTTCTCGACCCAGTTCGCGACCGACGTCATTTCAGTGTAGGCACCGCGCCACGTCGTTGTAACTGCTGAGAAGTTAAAAGTGCTGTAATGTGCACAGAGTTCCTCGACAGCAACAGCGCCGATCGACCACCTATCCGACAGGGCCCATACACACACACAACACACACAGGAAGCTACACTGCGACTGCTTCCCAACACCGGCCGTGCCGTAGAGGACGCCCCTCGCCACACACAAGTTGGCAGCACACTCACAGTTTGCCGAGCTGCTTGCCGCGGTAGTCGTCGCTGACCACCACATCCTCCAGCCGACCGCGCTGGGGGCAGCGCATGGGAACGTGTCGGGGGCGCATCAGACGGCAGACGACCGGCACCACTAGCGCGGGGAGGGGCAGAGTCCACAGATCGCTCAGGTCGAGGGTAGCAAGAACTCTGCGCACCAATGACAGGCACGGAGTCCGTTGTGAACAGCTATCAGCATGACCATTGTGTCGGCGTGTGGAATACAGGGTGCGCCTTCCTCGCTTTCCCGCCGATCTCGCATCAGGCAGGCTGCATGACAGATCGGACAGACGGACCGACATACAGATCCACTGAGTGCCGTTTGCAACATAGCTCAAAATATGCACGGGCTTCCTGTTCCTTTCGTCGTGTTGTATGTGCGTCCAAAGACCTAAGTTTTAACGCAGCAGTCTTGACGAGCCACATATGACGATAGCAGTCCTCCGATTATCTCCACTCCAGACATAGATCATGACCAATCAGCGGGCGCGCCGGAACTGTGACGACACGATCGGTCTCCGCAGCTACACGACCCGATAAATAACCGGACCCTTGAGCGTCGGCGGCGCGGCCTCGCCGGTCGTTCCCGCCTATCACAGGACACGACAAGCGCTGTCATAACAGTCGTCCGTCACAGTCCGCGTCCGGCGACGACAGGTCCGAGACCGAGCGAGACGCTGCCTCCAGTCGGCCGGGGCCTGCCGTCTGTCGGCGCCCCGTCTGCCGCCGCCCGGCGCGGCCAGGCCCGCTCACCACCGCGCAGTTGTGGATGAACTTCTGCTCGACGACCAGCGTGGCGGCGCCCACCACCTGACCCTTGACCTCGTCCTCCACCACCACCGGGTAGTAGGTGTCGGGACAGCGGGCCATGCCTTCGTACCGCTCTGGGAAGGGCCACCCTCCGCCAGCGTGAGACGGTTGGTTCACCTCCAGCACAGCCGAATAGCGACCTTGGGCCGTGGCTCCTGGGCAACGACTTCGCAAACGGTACAGAATTGCCCAACCGACAGGTATCGAGCACAGTGCAATCAGGTGCGCGTCCCTGGATTTCGGAGTTCGTTATGCAATGTCATAAACGGCAAGGCTCGTAGCCCATAACACTGCGCGAACGTAGCCCATAACACTGAAACATTCTGCGCGAACGTGATCGTTCTAATTGAAGGCATGCGGTACATCTCTGCTCAGGGTAGTTGATTTAGCTGTAAGGTGCAGTACGGGGCTGTCATGTCTACCCTGCACCACTACCCAAACATCCCCACGGCTGCTACGCGTTGACGCCAGAGGGAGAGACAGCCGGGGCGTGGCGGGGTGATCAGGCGGGGCCCACACACCCCTGTTGCCCCGCCACACCGCGTTGACGTCAGAGGGAGAGACACCGGGGCGTGGCGGGGTGATCGGCGGGGCCCGCACACCTCTGTCGCCCCGCCACACCGCGTTGCCGTCAAAGAGAGAGACACCGGGGCGTGGCGGGGTGATCGGCGGGGCCCGCACACCTCTGTTGCCCCGCCACACCGCGTTGACGTCAGAGGGAGAGACACCGGGGCGTGGCGGGGTGATCGGCGGGGCCCGCACACCCCTGTTGCCCCGCCACACCGCGTTGCCGTCAAAGGGAGAGACACCGGGGCGTGGCGGGGTGATCGGCGGGGCCCGCACACCTCTGTTGCTCCGCCACACCGCGTTGACGTTAGAGGGAGAGACACCGGGGCGTGGCGGGGTGATCGGCAGGGCCCGCACACCTCTGTTGCTCCGCCACACCGCGTTGACGTCAGAGGGAGAGACACCGGGGCGTGGCGGGGTGATCGGCAGGGCCCGCACACCCCTGTTGCCCGGCCACACCGCACACGTCACTCCCGCGCAACTACACGGCCACCATCGAACCATACACAACTCGCCGGATCAACAGCGAGCGTGGCGGCCACGACTCACTGAGGAAGGCCTCCCGCGAGATGTCCCCGACCTGCGTCAGCTGGCCCAACAGCGTCAGGAAGCCTGCAAATGGCGAGGAAAGGAGCTCAGCACAACAGACGAGGGACGACCAAAAGCACAGCTAGGCTCGCGCACGCTTGTGACCCCGCGTCTAAAACTTCTGTCCTATGGCACATCACCACAGATGCTCATTCAAACCAGTGAACTGCTTTACTCGCAGGATAACAACAGGACACGCCACCCCAATCCGGTGCCCTCGTTACATAGATGCAGTCAAGGCAGCATGGGCCGTCGTCGCTCGGAGCAGGGCATCCGGAGCGCGCGAGCATGGCCCATTCAGTCATTTGAAGCGGTCTCTCGCACCGCACGTGAAAAAACTGCACCTTACTATGAGTGATTAAATAGGAATTTATAGCCACTAGCACACAATGATCGATGCATACAACGCACGCAAATCACAACGCGGAAATTGACAAGGCAAATTCGTCAACATTTCCTGAATTTGGGTTCGGTAAGGTGCGGGAAAAGGACGGATGCAATAACTCCTAACCAATCCCTGCTAGTTTGGCCGGGCCACACCATGCAAACTATGCATCACGAGACAAGATATGGTCTCCATGATATGCATCACAAGATACGCAGCACCGACCGTTCACCTGCCCCAGTGTCTAAATATGTTATGAACTTTAGGTTATAGGAAGCAGCTCTAGCCTGCGATTACTGCTTCCAACCGACACACGTCAAGTGCACAGGCTCGCTCGGAGCGCTCCGTGCGAAGTCCGCTCCCCATGGGCCTATTGGGGCTGTAAACTAATCCCCCACATCACGCGCTGTCGCTTGCTGCATTAAGATATGGCGTATCTTGGCCAGTCCCAGCATCCAGTCCTGCCCGACGATAAGGCGTATGACAACGACGCTCTGACGCAAGTCAATGCTATTCAGATGCTGCTCCCCTCAGATCAGCCGAAGTCAGCGCAGCACGGCGCCGACCGCTGCTAAGTGGTCAGCCAACAAATCTGGGCACACAGGCCCTTCTGCGAGGTGAAGTGAAGTGACCACGGTTACCAGGCGCCGGTCTCACGCGGCCAGCTTGGTCGGCAATGCGGTCGCCACGCGACAGTAACAACGCGAGAGAGTTATGTTCGAACACAAGCCGACGGGCTGTGGCTGCCCTGCCAACGCCCCTGCAAATGTGGATGTGTTCTTTCGGGAGACGTGAATCATGTTCACAGACGGGGTTTGTCAATGACATGATCACGTGCCCGGCAGCGTCTTCGGTCAGACACCGAATAAATGGAACCAAATCTGACGCAACATGATTTATCAGAAATCGTACCGCAGTCAAGCGATGATACCTATCGTATCTCGGAAGTACCTCCCCGCAGCTGATAGCGTAGAACAAAGAGGTAAACTTCCATTCGACCGTGGGTACATAAGGGCGCACGCCGACCCGGAAACGAGGCGTCCCGCCTCTGGAGGCCTCGGCTGATCGCTGGGTTCAGAGGCTCAGACAAGTTTCATGGCCACAGAACGCGGACCGGTCCGAAACGGTGCGGGTTCTGCTCGACCCTTAAGGCCGTCATGGTCGCCGCCAAATGACGGTTTCCGCGAAGTGCTAAATGCCACAGGGGACCATCGCATTACCTTCAAGCACGTATAACTCGTTCGCTACATCTTTCAACAACGCATGCTCATGCCGTTGATCATTTGCGCTCAAAGCAAGTGGTCTGCAATCAAGACAAAGATAGGTTCACTTGAAAGCCGCTCTGATCAGCGTGCTGTAATGAGAGAACATTGTTTGGAAGTTCCCACCAGACCGCCGTTTTTACGCCAGCCGTGGTTTCGCCCCATCGATGTCCCCGGTGTCTTGCCAGCCAGCCAACGGAGCCATCCTACTAGCGTTCGTGTCATCCCACCAACCCCGCATCCCTCTGCCAGCCCCCCCCCCCCCCCCCCGCCCTCCCCAGCTCCTGTAACGCCGCCCCAGGCTCGTGCTATTTCGCCATTCCCCCACCCCCGCCCTCCGCCGCCCACTGACCCTTGTCGTAGTCGGCGCGCTGCAGCGGCCGCAGCAGCAGGCCGTCGCCGGGCTGCTCCGGCGAGATGGCCGGCCGGAACCGGTCGGCGTAATCGCCCCACGCCAGTGACGTCAGCAGGTCGCGGCTGAACAGGCCCTCCGGCTCGTCACCGGCCGGGCCATGTCCAGAGCCGTTGCTCGTGCCGTTCTCCATCGCCTGAGGCGGGCAGGGAGGTGTTAGGAGCACAGAGGAGGGGGTGGGAGGAGGGCGTCCAGCAGGGCAGAAGACAACAACAGTGGATAAACACAGCAGGCATGTGGAGAACGCTAGGTATCTGTGGCGCACAAGTCTCATCTGTGGCATTTAACTGCGTTATACATATGCTGAAATGCGTGCTAGATTCATTGCCGCTTTCACCTTCAACGCAACTTAATATTGTACATTTTACTACGCGGTTCCCGCGTCCATGCAGACCTACAACGCAACTTAATATTGTACATTTTACTACGCGGTTCCCCGCGTCCATGCAGACACTTTTACATCTGCTAACACCGGGATTCAGAACGGCTATCCGAAACTGAGATCCGATAAATCTGACCACACCTCAAATCTGTACCCCGTGACGGTCGAGGCGCCAAAGCTGTGGTAGCTGCGCAGAGCCTAGTGTGACGGACCCAGCATCACGGCGTCTGGCATGCACAAGCTGACATCTGACACGACCCGCCAGTCGCTATGTAAACAAGCACCGTTACCCCACAGCGTCGGCGGCCTTCATCTCCGCCAGTCGAGAACCATGCACTACGCCGCCCCCAGCGCTCCACATTTCGCGGCAATGCGCGCGAGTCACACCGGGTCCGACTGGGCGCCGCCGCCGCGAGCCAGGCCGTCGCCCCCGTGTCCAGCGGCCGTCTCCCGGCAGTGAGAGGGCGGCTCAGGGACGTGAGCGGCGGCCGGCGCTTCCTGACCGGACCGGCCGGGCAAGGTCACCACTCACGGCCGCTTCCACGCCCCCAGGCCAGACACGCCCAGAGCGGGCGCAGGCGGCCGGCATCCCACGCCCGACGCGTCCGTACAGAGACAGGGAAACTTGATCAGAATACTCGCTCATAACGGAGAGCAGGCGCGCACCTTTTCTGTACCCGACTCGACCAAGCAAAATTGTCGGGGGAGAGGGGGGGGGGGGGGGGGGGAAGACGCACATCAGAGTTAACAGTGGAAGCATTCCAACACACGTCAATCTCTCCCAGAGGAGGAGAATTTTCCGTCAGACACCATAGCGGACGGACGTGAGGCACGCCTTTCCATGTCAACCCACCACGCAGGCTTCATGAAAGTGGGCACGCAAGGAACGTGGTTCGTCACATGGGTGATAATAGAACACGCAAAGCATAGTGCATACATCCCAGCTCTAATGTGAATGGCCCGCCGGTGCTTACGCTATAACGCAACAACCACGCCCACTGTTAGCTTTCTACCTAATGTGACTATTGCTATGCCAGGCAACGGAGAAACATCAAGCTGGAACGGCGGACACGTTAAACTTCAAAAAGCTCCTAGTCCAAAGACCATATGAGTACATATAACCCCTCCCAAGGATTGGCTACGCGGACGCGACCTTGTTCCAGATAGCCCAGGCTAGGTGCGGGAGACACGGTCCTACTCTGAACGCCTCCAGACAGGGAACTCGTTGCCACTCCCACGCTGGAAACGAAGAGACGGCGTTTCTATTTCACCCGCCTCAAAGCTGGGCACGGGGGGGGGGGCACGATCCCTCTCCAACCACCCCAAGTTAGATACTGGGGCACGTTACCGTTCCAAACGCCTCTTTCATGTTCTGAGATGGCTACAGGGGACATGCTTCTGCTCCAAAGACGTCCCGGGTGAGCCTGTGGAACACTCCCCCACTCCGAATACCGCCCGCTCCGGCAGGCTGCGCACGGGAGGCAGACCTTCGCCCCACATCACCACAGCCGATTACAGGGGACGAATTGCCAGTTAGTTGCAAGACAACTTCACACAACAAAGCGCGTTCAGGCCGGTTATTGGCTGATTATTGGTGATGTGTTTTCATCACCCACACTCCAGTCTTTGCACACAGCATGTGTCTTATGACTTACTGATGGACACACTCTGTGGATAGGGGTTTGCCTCAGGGTCATCCTCTGACCTCTGCCTGTCCAGCCCTGTGACAAGGGGGTTACACTCAATGGGGCCTTTGATCTACATTCCACTGCTGCCCTGTCCAATCCAGACCTGTCAGGTGTTGAAGGAGATGACAAATGCAGGACAGGATTGACACTGAATATGGGGTGGACATCAATAGTATGGTCCAGTGGCACTCCAACAGAGCTCATCTGGCCATGCATGCAGCTGGCTGACTATTGATTCTCTGTGATGGAAGTGAAAAGCAAAATAGATTGAAATATCTTATTACTAACTCATAACAACTAAAATGTTTTTGCAAAGTTTCCAGTCCCAACCTCATTACATATCTTGAAGGCATCTTGTCTTTCATGAAATAAAGATATCCCAGAGTGAAAAATGACCATAATTCCTTAATTCAGTGTTTTAAATGCCTGGATTCTTGACCCAACTGTTCCTGATGGTTTTTGGTGAGTGCATGCTACCCTTGTCACCAGCTTGAATGGTACTACAGATGGCAGCTGAACCCTTTCAGCAAGGAGTACAAAATCAAACATCTATTGCTAATACCAGAAGTTGCTAGCAGAGGAGTAGGCTAGAAAGCTGAGCTGGGGAGAGACTGAGCACTGAAAATGATAAAACATACCTTCAAAACATGCAGACACACATGTTTCTACACAAATTTGGCAACTTACTCTTTAAGTTTAGGGGAGAGCTAAGACCAAAGATTAAAGGCTTTTACCTCCCAGCTCTGGATAAGAGACCATACACCTGATCAGATGACATTTAAAAAAAGCAGGAGAATGTCAAACATAATCTAGGAAGAAAATATTTGAATCTTTTATGCTTGAAAATATAAAAATGTTTGTGTCAAAAAGAGGTGCACATTTTAACACAACATGCATTTGTATTATTATGACTTAGTTGCCTTTTCATCCTGTATCTCCTGTATTTCTCCTGTATTTCATCCTGTCTTTCATTCTAATCTCCTTGCATGTTTCATACTATTTTTATTCAATTATTTTCCCTGACTTTTTCAAATTGAAATATGCACCTCTAGAATTTTAAACATTCTTGTGGACTTTGGCAAAAGGTAAACACAGGTACAAAAACAGTTGATAAACTTCATTAACTGCTCAGTTTGCTGCCCACAATACATGTGTATCTACAGGCCAAACAAAATTGTATGCAAACCACATGCAAGCATGATACACAATTGGTACTTCTGATAGGTTGGAATGCTATGTGACATGCATCATGTTTTCAAACACACATGCACAGATCCAGCTTTGGCACACAATAGCTGTCAAGTGACATATTTTTAAGGTAATTTGGACTCTAAATACTGGCCTCACTTGCCTCTCTTAGGACACATTTCCTCACGTGTCAAAATCACGATGTTCACCAACAGCCACTAGGCTTCCATGGCTCCAGTAGGACTCCATTACCTTTACATCATACTTGTTTCATAATAAAATATACCTATCGGCCGCCCTGCACAATGAATCCCAATGCGAATGCAGTACACTCCCCCAGTGACGAGACACAGCACCCACTAACCTTACAATCAACCCAGCAGAACCACGAGGCCGCGACTGGAGACGTAGACACGCGGGCGCCGCTCCAAGGAAAGTGAAAGTCAAGAGAAGGTTGTTCACCTCCAACTCCCACGAGACGTAGCGTGGTCGCCTGTCCCCCCGCGCGAGCAGCACTGACCAGCGGACACCTCCCGCCGCTCCCACCGCCGCCGTCCCCCCCCCCCCCCTCCCCGCGGCCCGCTCAGAGCCGGCCCCTGACCTTGGATCAGCGGGGCGGTATCAGATACGCCGGATGCAACGGAGCTGGCCGGCACGCGCGTGGTCGGGCTGGGCGGGCCTGTGGTTCGCACCGTGCCGCCATCGCCGCCTCATCCACCCCAGCTCTAGCGCTCACCAATGTTACACGTGCCATTCGTCACGCCGGGCCATTGGGCCAGTCTATCCTAGCTAGCTCTCCACCACGGTGTACGAGCGAGACCCGGCCAGGACGGGCGTCTGCTGAACGAGAGCCAATGCGTTCTTCTAGCGTGATTGGAACTACGGATGAAGCGTTCATTCATAGTTGTTCCGTCTGTGTTGCAGTAGTATAATCCCCCCCCCCCCCCCCCAACGGTGGATGAAATTCTCCTCACCTGGCAAAGACGGCATTGTTCCGCACATGACTAGAGCATTGCTGCATGGCAGAAGCCAGTTGTCCTGAGTTGCACATTCGTAGAGTACTCTGATACAGCGGGCAATTTTTCAGTAACTGTAGCTTAAATAAAAAATGCCTCCAAGTTCACCCCAACCGAAAAAACACCCGCCATCCACAAAATGACACGAGGGAGCCGTCTTCCGGCGCCCGGCCGGAGGCCGTTGGCCGCCGGCCAACACCCCAGCAGTCCAGCTTCACCACGCTAGAGCTGAACAAACATGGCCCACTGTATTTAACTCCCAGTCAATACAGGACCACACGGCATCATGACCTCGGCACGGTCGCACGGGCGGCGCAAGTACCGAACAGGGTTCACCCGCAGGTGATGAGCAGCTGCAGTCCCTGCTCTATCACTGGGACAGCAAGATGTCAGTGAACCCCCTGCAGTTTTGAGTCCCATCCGTCGTCGTTTGTCCGTTATATCACCAAACGGATGGTCACTGCAAGTCATGGAGATCACTGCCAAGTGCTCGGTGCACTGCGCACTGGACAGTGCCTACTTCAAGTAGTCCACGTATCATGGGGCCTTCCGAAGGGAACATGACGAGCCACGCGGCCAGTCCCCGAAGTCAGATGGCCACCCACGTCATGCAGCACACACAACGCCGACCTCCGACCGTACCGTACCAGTACAGACCTGCTGCAGTACAAAAAGCTGCTACCAAAACCATGCCTAAGCTCGAGCTTGTGCCCGTATCCTTCCCGATCTGGCGCACACTGGATGGACCAAATCCGCAGCAGAGCTTTGGTTCGTCCGCGCGGCCCGGCGGAAGGTCCAGGCTTCCAGGGCTTCGGGCAATGCGGTCCCGCAGTAGCGACGGCCGGTTACGGCGGCCAAAGCCAGAGCTTGAGCCGCAGCGCGTCCACGCCGTTCAGGTAATACCGGAACAGCCGCTTGTCGCGAACGAAGCCCAGGTTCTCGTAGAGACGCAGCGCCCCCTTGTTGGTGACTTCCGTCTCCAAGACCACCTGGAAGGGGCCCAGAGCCGGCCGTCACCGAGGCTGGATTCCACACGAGAAAGACACGGTGCACGCGGCAGTGGTGAATCACGATGGTGGGGGGGGGGGAGGGGGAGGGGGGAGGGGGAGGGGGGAGGGGGAGGGGGAGGGGATGCAATTAAATAAGTTGTCTTTTTCTGTCAACCACGCGGGCATAGTTGGCAACCAGCTGCCATGATATTTCCGCAGAGTTACTGAGGGAATTTCACACACAAATGCCACCGTCACGGTCTAACAAAAGTAGTAGCACACAGCCGGCGAAGAGAACCGAGAAAAACCAAAGCCTTCTCAAAAGTAGCAATCGCATAAAGCGGATCAGCATAATGCGACAGAGTGGGGCCACTGAACAGACGCTCACCTCATCGGCAGCGTCCGAGGCCATGGCACGGATGGCGTTCAGCACCAAACACGACCCTGCAGATCGAAAACGGCGGAGAATCAAATCACAGTGCATATACACAGCTAGAAATTTGTTTCGACGCTGGCTTGCATGGCGCGTGACGTAGAATGAAAATGGTAACATCATCGAAGATGACATTTCTAACCACCATCACAATAAAGAGCCCCGAACACAGGGCTACCCAGTGGCCCCTTTGCGATCCGCCGAGCCAGTCCGCCCAGCGGCAGCCAGCGGCGCGCAGCTGACGGCCGGCTCACCGATGCGACGTTTCCGGAAGCGCTGGTCGACGGCCAGCATGGCGATGTAGCCGCGGCTGGTCACCACGCGCTTCGTATGCGAGTCGTGCGAGTCCAGCTTGCAGACAATAGCGCCGACGATGCGGCCGCGGTGGCGCGCCTGGCGACACGGCCGGGCCGGTCAGGGGGGGGGGGGGGGCCGCCGGGCTGGTCAGGGGAGGACGGCCCAGCCGGTCAGGGGAGGACGGTCGGGCCGATCAGGAAAGGACAGCCCGGTCGGTCAGGGGAGGACGGCCAGGCAGGTCAGGGGAGGATGGCTGGGCCAGTCAGGGAAGGACGGCCAGGCTGGCCAAGGGAGGACGGCGGGTCGGTCGGGGGAAGACGGGCAGGCAGGTCAGGGGAGGATGGCTGGGCCAGTCAGGGAAGGACGGCCGGGCTGGCCAAGGGAGGACGGCAGGTCGGTCAGGGAAGGACGGCCGGGCTGGTCAATGGAGGACGGCCGGCCGATCAGGGGAGGACAGTCGGACAGCCCTGCAGAGGCTGAGAGGACAGCGGAGGTGGCGGGAGCGCCGGAAGGAGAATGAAATGAGTAGGGGAATGGAAGGACTGATAACGTCATGACAAATTTAACACAATGTATCTGACGATCACAGAAGCACGCGACAAGTTGAAGACCATTCGAAAACCAACTGTGGCTGAACGCGAAGATAAACACAGACAAAGAGAACACGAACTCTGAAGATAAATTCCCGCCAGCTACCAAATGCTTCACTCACCAGGAAGCAGAGATTGGGCCAGTTGTTGATGAAGTAGCGGTAAGTGTAGATGGAGTAAGGCTCGGAGAGGTCGCGCTGGATCAGCTGCATGATCTCCGGCATTTGCAGCTCGCTCTCGTAATTGCTGTAGATGATCGGGCTGTCGTCGATGCTGCAGTCGGCCAGCTCCTGGCTGAGTGGGCCGTCCGGCTCGCCGGCCGCCGGCTGTCGGTGGTTCGTGTCCGGCGGCGGCACCGGCGGCGGCGGCGGCCTCTGTTCGCCATCCACTTCCTCGGGGGCTGCGGGCTCCCGGTCACGCCCGTCCGACCGGCCGTCGGACGCCGGGCTGGAGGACTCCGATGGTGTTATGTCGTCTGATGCGGCGGAACGGTCCGCCTCGCTCCCCACACAGTCACTGGCAGCCAAAGGCACCAGTGGAGAAATGGGACTGGTGTTGGATGCGCCGCCATTGCCTCCAGTTGACATTTCATGGCAGTGGTCATTTGCCATGTCATTGTTGACCTCACATGGTGTTTGCTGCTGACTGCTCTGGTCAGTCACTGGTGGTGCAGGTTGGGTGTTGTCCATGCTGATCTAATGCACAGATGATGTAACTGAAAGATATGGGGTAATTCAGTCTTCCATAAAGCATTCCACCCAGCTGCAGCACAGCTCTCAACAGCCTCCAAATAAATGTCAAACTGCTGGAAATCAGCCAACTTAAATGCCTAGTGCTTGCTGCGAATGAGGTAGACTTATGCTGTGACACAGTGTACCACACAAATGTATGTGTGCAAATCTGACCCAGAAATCAGGTACATTATGAGTAACCATATTCCACCAAACATGGGGTTAACATACTTGCAAGACAAAGTCTGCAGTGGCTGTCACACCAGGGATTATTGTTAGAACATGCTTTTATTGCTTCAAGCTTTCCAGGGCCTTTGCTGCCCCTTGGCCACCATACACCCCACTGAATGGAATAAACTGAGCCCATGTTATATCTTTTTTAAAAAACTTTGATGTCTCTCATGGGCAGCTCCAGGTTTGGAGTGCTTGCCAGGCATGCCATATTATGGAGAAGAAACTGAATAAATCACTACAGTATAGTATGGTTTGCTACATATCCAACACAACTTGTGTGGCCCAATCCCTCCAAGTTATTGGTCATGGTATACATTGGGACCTGAAACTGCAATACTAAATTGTTCACCAACTAATGTTTTAAGATATGACACCATAAGTAATCATCAAATGGGAACATGTCATGTATATCTTATCATCTTATCCAGAAAATACAATAATTAAGATGGCAATGGCACAGGTCAGTCAAACATCACCATGACACACTGATGACACTGACCGTTATAGGGGATGGGTCACAGGAAAATTAAGTGGTTTATCAGGTGAAAATAGCACAGTCAGGTTGGGTTAGGGTAGGTTATTAGGCTAGGTTAGGTTAGGTTAAGCTAGGTTAATTGTATTAAGCTGGGTTGGGTTATATTTGGTTCAGTTAGACTAGGTGAGATTCTGATCTATTTCCATGCCTTCTTCAACAGGCCATGTTCTCAAAGAAATTGCACGTCCATATAACAGCAATACCACCAGTGTGTTGAGAGTGTTGCGTCCCTGGAGCGCTTAGACGTTTGCTATTGCAACTATTAAAGTTTGAAGGTAAGAGTGTAGATGCACCTGTTTTGTGTTTACTTATGATAGCTTCCACCTTACAGAAGGCGATTTATGTACAATGTTCTTTTGGAACGAAATGTACCTATGTAAACCTACCACAACAATCTAGCAAACTATTATTACAAGAGGATTCCACGACTCTAGCAACACCCCCAACTCACTCAAAAAAGGTACTCACCACATCACAGACGATGATCGCCGATTCCAAGCGTTCTCAAAAATGACGCATAACTGCGGCACAATGCTGTGATGCTCCGTCTAACCTCATGAAGTTGATGGCTATAGTTACGCATTAAAGATGTTTTGATGACTACATATTGCAATCTCATGGTAATATTTATAAATAAATCAATAGGAAAAATCTGTATTATTTTCCTTGAAATTTTATTTCCTAAGAAATATTAGCATGTCAATATTAAAATACGTCATTTATACTGTCAGGTCAAACCGAATCATGTTCTCTTTCTCGGAAGAATCTGACAACCTTGCACGCCTTTTTCGTCTGGGATGATTGCTGTCTGGGGCCGCTGTGTCGTGCAGAAGTCGTTCGTTGCGTTTATTTGTTGTGTTGAATGCGCTTGGTGTCAAAGATATCATGAAATCCAGGAAACCGAGGCCTGCAAAGCCGCACCTTAAACGGTCCCTTTTAAGTAGCCAGTTCCACAATCGGGTGAGCATTGCATCGTTTTATGTTTCGCTCAAAACGGTTTGTGATACCCATAAGCGAACTTTCATTTCTTCCAAGCATATGCCGATCAACTTATACATATTTTACCAGCTGGTGACACATTTCACAGAACAAGAGCTGCATCAATTGACAAAAAACATTATGGCACACAAAATACTGCACAAGCACATGCATTGCCATACCCCCTTCCCCATTCTACAGATATCTTTCATTTCATCAAATTTTTGAACAGACATGATAACTCGCAGGTTTTAGTGCTAGGTGTTTCTTAAAAATTCACAAATGCTCTCAGATTTTCAAGTTAACGGAGGCATACACTGCCTAAGATACCAAAATTTAAGCTAAAACTGAGGTGTCACATGAATGCTCTTGAACGTGGGGAAAGGCCAGGTCTTGCAAGAAGTTTTCCCATCCAACTCATCATTTGATTTGGCTTATATACAGGCTACCCATTCTGGAACAGACAACTTGAATTTCTGACATCTAGTGTTTTTGCTTTTACTTGTACAGTTACATTTTAAAGTAAAACAGCCTGCATATGTATGACACTCACTCTTTTGATTTGACATCAGCATGCACTATCAGGCATTACACAGTCTGGTCTGGCAAGATAGTCTATGCTTGTTTTCCTAGTTCAGTCTCATGATGTTAAAAACTTGGATGCTTGTGTATATGTTCAGTAGTGCTGGATGTACCACATAAAGTTAACTTAAACCAAGGCTACTACTCTGTTGGCTTTGTTTGACACAACTGTACAATAGTGTCAGCTTTGTTTTACAGAACTGGACAATGAAATTAGCTTCACTTTACATGATTTACATTGGTATTGGCTTCGGTGGCATAATGTGAATGGCAGTAACTCATAAACCCCCACACATGGGTCCTGGCCTTAGCACATGACACTCCTACATCTGGTTGCAGAGGCTGGAGGAGGACCTGATGTGGTCGAGCCAGGCTCGTGAGCGTGAGCGGCGCGAGAGCCGCCGCACGCGCGAGCGCCGCTCGCCGCCGCCGGCTGGTCCGCGCATGCGCATGGACCAGACGCGCCTGGAGAGCCGGCCTCGCCGCGAAGGTAACGGTGCCGTCGGCGGCCACCCCGACCCCGCCTGCTTTACAGGAGCCGCCGGCCGCCCCTCGCCGGGCCGCCACGCCCCCGGCGTTCTCTCCTCTGCCGCCGGCGGGATGTCGTGCCGCAGCTGACGACCCCGTCCGAAGGACCGAGGGAACTGAGCGAAGGACTGTGATAATGTGTGAAAACGCGGTGCTGCCGGGCAGAGGGGCAGTGACGGCGCGGTTCCCTAGCTGTCTGAACCAGTGAGAAGAGTGTTCAGGGCGTGGGCGTGACGCGGACTTATGTATGTTGGTATGCATGTGTGCGTGTGTGTTTGTGTGTGTGTGTGTGGATTTATGTGTGTGTGTGTGTGTTTGTGTGAGTCTGAATGTCTGTGTGCATGGCGTGCGGGCACTTGCTAACTGAATGCCTGTGATGGAAGTCACCATTGGTGTCGTAGCGACAACAATAGTCAACGAACTGAAGATGCCCGGATAGTGATACACTAGTGCTAGGTTGCGCACAGCCAGCAGTGCACGGAGCGAAGTGCGCGACCAGTGATCAATGACTCCGCTGCGGTTCACGTGTGATGAACAGTTCGCGGGTGCAGGGCCTGTGATGTGATGAACAGGAGTGAGCTCAGCTTACCACCAGTGATGAACAGATCTCCGTGCGAGGCGTCGCCAGTGATGAACAACACTCCATCGGGAGGATGTGGTCTGTGAGCGAGGACTTCGGGGCAGGTCGCCAGTGACTAAGATGTGTCAGTGTAAGACGTCCGCCAGCGGTGGACTGATCGGCATTTGGAAGCGGCGCGAGCGTGCTAGGAGAAGTGTCCAGCTGCTAGTCAGTGTGCGGTGAGCGGCGGAACGGACAGGCGCTGTTCTAGCGCCGACTAAGGAGTGCTGTTGGGGGGACTTTCGGACCGCCGCCATCAGTCCCACAACGGACGGATGGTGCCCAGTGTCCGACCGCGCGGGCAGTGAGTCACGGACTCGTCCGGGGTGCAGCGCTTTGGCGCGTGCCCCCTGCACGTGCCCAGGACTTGGCGCGTGCCGTGCCGGGCGCCGGCCGGTGCCAGCCGGACGGCTGACCAGGCTGTGACGCGGCCGTGTCTGTCGGCACGTGCGCCGCCAGCGATCGGCCGTCCGAGCGGCAGCGAGCTCCAGCGGGTGGCGCCCGAGCGCTGGCCGGCGGCCGACGTCGCCTCGGTCTCCGTACAGTCCGGTAGGCGGGCCACGGCTCGCGAATGCCATGCTCTTCTCGCTAGGTGTCGGTAAGGCCCACGGTAAGTCCTCGTCGGTGCCGGCGCGTTCGCGGAGAGGGAAGGCTCGCTGCCGGGAGAGCCGGGTCTGGTGGCGTGGCAGGGAACATGTGCCATTGGTCGTGCCTAAAGGTGTCTGTCCTCTTTGCAAATATGTGGACATAATAATAGTTGAGAATTCATATGCTTGTGTAAAATCAATCAAGAACAAAGCCAATATTGAATCAGTAGTAACGCTCGTGTCGGACGTTCACTGCTTATATCCCACGAGGTGCTGTTCGTCGCACACTGAAGGTTTGCTGTTTGCTTTAGTTTGAAGTGAGTTCTTTTAGTTAGATGAGGTATGGATTAGTGGTTTTGACTTCCGTTATTAAAAAAGCAGACAAGCGCTCGAAGGTACGCGCTAAAAGCTATCGCTATCTAAAGAGCATAAGAACGTTGGGGACCTTGGTGCAAACACGAGCATAGGCAGCTGACGTTCATGGTAAGAGAACATGCTGATTTATCTTGCGGGGCCAAATTAGTATTGCCGTAACGGTTAGGTGGCGCCCTGCTGCTTATATGTGTAACTAATCGTGAATAAATGCCTAACCGGCAGTCCCGTGCCTTCCGTTCCCAGTGTCACGAGAGATGATTCTCGTTCGGCCACGCATTGTTTCATTTACGGCACTCTATTCTTCGTAGTACGTTACAAATGACTAAAACGCTAAGTTGTACGTTTTGATTTCCCAGAAAATCTGATCGTCTCCATCTGGTTTGCCTTTCATCTGCCTGCATTTCAGTGAAATTAGCTTCCGTTATGCGTGACCCAGGTTGCCGGGGTCATTCAGAAGATATCAGTGAATTTGTACTGTATGAATCGACTTTGCCGAGTGTTCTGTTCAAGCTGTGACGTTTCGCCATAGACTGGAATGCCACCATACGAGGACAGAACACATGGCTTAACCCGGTTCAAATTCAATGACATGGCGACCATTGACTAAAAGGCTTATTGTCCGAACATGCTGTACCTTTAACTGAGCTTTGGCAAGTTTTCATTCTGGCAGTAATCGACCTTCAATATGCCTGGAGGTACTGGTTAAACGACGGTATCAGGCAAGCAGTGGCTATGTTGACGGGACTCGACGCTTCAAGTCGTGCCGATGGCCACGAGTCCAAGAAGGTCCAGTCATTTAGTCTTCAGTGCGGTTTAGTCTCTGTCTCTGGTACGGTGTAATTCCTTTGTCAGGTCTGGTGTAGTCCCAGTCCGTAGTAAAGTGTAGTCCTAGTCTCCAATCCAGCTTAACTGTATCCCTGTCTGTGGTCCAGTTTAGTCGTGGGCCCGACGTAAGTCCTATCTCGGGTCTGATGTGGGTCCTGTCTTGGGTGCGATACAGGTCCTGTCCCGGGTCCGACGTAGGCCCTGTCTCGGGTCTGATGCGGGTCCTGTCCCGGGTCTGACGTAGGTCCTGTCTCGGGTGCCATGTACGTCCTGTCTCGGGTTCGATGTTGGTCCTGTCTCGGGTCCGACGTAGATATTGTCGGGTGCGATGTAGGTCCTGTCTCGCCCGTGCGCCCCGTGTAGTTTCTGCTGATGCTGCGAACCCCACCGTAATGCGCTTCCTTTATGGGGCAGTCGCTGACCGACGTCCGACCTCGGTGCCCCTGCCTCTGCGGCTAAATCGATTCCAGCGTACTCCCTGTTTCGAGCGTTGGGCGAGCCCCAGCGTTGGGCCAGCCCCACGGCCGACCAATGGTCAGGCAGTGGGTGAAGCGTGCCCCGGCTGTAGACCGACCCCGGCCCATCTCTCCGCGTCGCATCCCCTGCACTCCCCAAGTCCCGCCGGCTGGCGCTGATGGCCGCCGCGTCCGTCACCAGAGCGCCGCCGGCCCCAGCTCGACTCGGCCATGCGCAACGCCCGCCGGCAGGGACAGAACAGCCTCTACTGGACCAAAAAGCTGCTCGACTTCGAGGAGCGCGAACCGGACAGGTAGTCACGTGTTACCGGGGCCCAGTGGCGACCGGGGGAAAAGACCCGCTTGCAGGGCTGCGTACCGTCCTGAATGGAATATGCATGTTCTCAGCGGCAGAAGTCTATCGGATGTGGCGTTAATAACATAAATTCTCACAGGTTTCTTAAGGCCTTCATTTATTTCGAAATGACTCAGTTTGAATTTGAATCAGGCCTCAAAGCTTCTTTACTCTTTTCGATTTCACTTACAACTACACAAACTTGATATGTGGTTCTTAACACAACGCATTTTTGGACACATGTGTTCCGTGATCTAGATTTAATAGCGCTAACTTTCCGACATGCGTGGAACGTCGTCGGACGATTTAATGGCAGGTAAGGAAGGTCCCACAGTACTATAACCACTTTTGATCCGTGGGTCAGGCCCCGGAATAAGCTGTGAAGTAACGTTTACACAACAGCCCGAGGGAATCTCTCCTCTCCGATCAGCTGCCAGCGAGCGATGTCGCCCATCTACGGAGAATGGGTGGCGCGCGGTGTCCCCAGGCGGGGCGTCGCTTGGCATCCGGCCGCCTTACCGAGACCAGCCGGCGGCCGCGCTCATCCGACAGACCGGACCGACGGCCGACCGGCCTGCCCCCTGACGCGTCCGTACCCGCAGGTGGGGCCACAGCGGGTTCCGGGAGCTGTACCTGGACCAGCCGTCGGCCGGCGGCGGCCGCTCGGCCCGCTCCCGCGAGCGCCAGAGCCGGGAGCGGCAGGAACGGCAGGAGCGGCCAGAGCGCGGCCGCCGCCAGTCCGGCGCGCCGGGCTCGGCTCGCCGGCCCCCGGAGCGTGAGGAGCGCGGCCGGCGCCGCTCCCCTCCGGCGACGGCCGGCCCGCGCCGACCGGCCGGCCGCTCGCCGCCGCCCGGAGACCGGCACCGCCGCCGGCCGCCCTCCTCCTCCTCCTCGTCGTCCGGCAGCTCACGCTCCGGATCCTCCACCGGCCGGTGGGTGCTAACTTCCCGGAACATTTATCAAAGCGCAGATGCTCATCTGCGCAGCGATGTTACATTACTTCTCAGTGACGTTTGCCCACTTTACGTGTACATTTGTAAATCCTTGTTTTAGATGCAACTGAGCGCCTCTTTGGTGCACTGTCGTATGTTTCTAATAAATTTCTTCGGGATGTACCGGCAGTAAAGTTAGCTTGCCACAGCCATTGTCCATCGCATTGGTGTCGTGCACTCGGAAAATAGGCCAGTTCGTCCTGTGGTGAGGCGTACCGATCTGCATCAGTTTTCCGTGCGGCCCTGTCCAGCCATCGTCTGCCGGCGTCCCGCAGGTCCCACTCTCGCTCGCGGTCGCCGCTCTCACGCAGTGGTGGCGGCGGCGGCGCCGGCAGCCGACGGCGGCGCACCTCTAGCTCCAGCTGGTCCAGCAGCTCCACCAGCGTGACGTCACGCTCCGTGTCGCCTGCGGCGGGCGCCCCTCGCAGCGGCGGCCGACCGTCCCCGGCGCGGCGCCGGCCGGCCGCGCCGGGGACGGTCGGCCGGCCGCCGCCGCCGCCGGCGGGCCGGCCGGCGCCGCCGTCACCTGCGCCGCGGTCGCGACCCTCCGGCCGGCCGCCGGCCGCCAGCACCACCATCACGCGCAAGGTGCCGAACCCCCCGCCGGCGGCGGCGGAACGGAGCGAGCGGCGCCGCCGCTCGCCGCCGCGACGGCCGCGTGCCGCCGGCCCAGCGCGACGCCGGCCGCCCGCCGCCGCCGCCGCTGCCGCCAGCGAGTCGGCCGAGTCGAGCTCGTCGAGCGGTGCCGAGGAGGCGGTGCGCACTAGCCTGTCGGAGCGTTTCGGTCGGCTGGCGCAGCTGAGCGTGCAGCGCGGTGCCGCCGAGCTGGTGCGCCTGCGCATCGTCAAGGACGCCAACTCGTCGGACAAGAAGGTCATTTTGGAGGAGGAGCCGGGCGGCGCGCGCGAGCGCAGCCAGGAGCGCGTCAGCTTCGAGAGCGAGTACCGCGAGTACTTCGGCCAGAAGCTGCGGCGCGCCGCCGTCACTGACGACCCGGGCGACCAGCTGCCGCGCCAGCTGCCGCGCGACTGGGAGACGGACGTCAGCGTGCGCTACCGCTACTACCGCGACGCCGGTTACTTCCGCGACCACATGCTCACGCTGGAGGAGTACATCAAGTGGGAGCAGTGGTGGTACCGCTACCGCGAGTGGCTGGCCAAGGAGGCGCGCCGGCCGCGAGTGGAGCGGCCGCCGCTGGAGACGGTGGCGCCCGTGCGCCGGCTGCGGCCGGTCGACTGGCCGGACCGGCGACGCCGCTTCTGAGGCTGTGCGGGCGTGTCGTCCACCCTCAGCCGAAGACGACGCCCGCGGGGTGTTGGCGACTTTGCAGGGGTCTCCCGGGGACGGGTGATGCACGTAAGCGCCTGCTGTCTGGGCGTGTGCCGACCCGCTGTGATGGAGCCTGAGCCCCGACGGTGGGCGGACCGCCGCGCGTGTCTGGTCCAGGCCCTGTTGAATCTTATGCGGTCTTTCCGCGCCTGCTGCGAAGGGCACACTAGCTGGCAACGACTTAGTCCAGCGTCTCTTAGTAGCCCATCCTCAGTGACTATGGGCTGTGGGACTCTGATGCTGCCGGCAGCGCCCGTGCTCCAGCTGTGGAGCACCACCGCCGTCCTGCCCCTGTCCCGCTCTCGCGCAGCTTCCGACCCCACCAGAGTCGTAATCGCGCCCTCTGTTGTTCCTGTGGTGCCCTGGAAGCACAAACCTGGGTGGTGCCGGCCCTGGGAGCTTCCTGTCGCGGTTTTATGTAGCGCGCTGGCGGCCTGTTACATGACCTGGGCCTTTGGAGGTGCCCGCGGACGGCGCTGCCTAAGCCGGCAATCAGTTAAGATGGTGCATCTTTCGGGCAGTTTTTGTTGTCCGGAGTTGCCGGCTTTTAGCGTCAATAACCTGACATGCAGGTGTGCGCCAGTGGTAATGTGATGATGTGATGTACTCGCGTCTTGTGATGTTTTTTTTTTAGAATGTTTCTATTTCTTCATGCTTTTGTTTAGGCACACCACACCTTGCCAGACTTTTAGGTACGTAAATAATGGCAGAAACGAATGGTGGGTCGTAATGGATCATGTATTTAACATGAAAGTAAAGACCACAATAAACCACTGATATGTGACAGACGATGTTTTAACGGGATGGAAACTGAATGCTGTCTAGGCAGAACTATTACACGCAACATATTTTTGGTATCCATCTAGTGCGCATAAGCTGTCGAGGCCACTGACCCCGGCACATTAATTCGGGTGTCTCAGTAGAACGGCCAATCACGACCGAAGACCGCTGCACGTGCACAACTCGTGCCTTCAGCGCTTCACCGCACGCGACAAATCATGACACAGACGGCAGATATACTTGCAAGCACCTGCCGCCCTCGTCCGGGCGCGAGTCCGCCGTGTCCGGGCGTGAGTCCACTGCGTCCGGGTATGAGTTTACCGTGTCCGAGCGTGAGCCCACCGTAACCGGGTATGAGTTTACCGTGTTCGGGCGCGAGTCCACTGCGTCCGGGTATGAGTCTACCATATCCGGGCGTGAATCCACCGTGTCCAAGCGTGAGCCCACCGTGTCCGGGTATGAGTCTACCAAGTCCGGGCGTGAGTCCACAGTGTCCGGGTATGAACTTGTCGTGTCCATGCGTGAGTCTAACGTGTCTGAGCGTGGGCCCACGGTGTCCGGGTATGAGTCTACTGTGTCCGAGCGTGAGCCCACCGTGTCCGGGTATGAGTCCACCATGTCCGGGCATGAGTCCACCGTGCCTGACCAGTGCATATATTCCTCACGGACAGCGCGCGCCGCCAGTCAGGCGCACGGGGGAGGTCGGGGGCGTCGCGAGTAGCGCAGCTAGGGTGGATCAGCTGCGCTTCCTTCTGTACGTGGATGACGGCTCCTCCAGTTCACTGTCGCTGTCGCTGTCGCTGCCACTGTCGCTGTCGCTGCCGTCGCCCTCCGCCTCCGTCTCCGCCCGCAGTATCCGCACAAACACCTCGTATTCTCTCAGGGGCAGCCTGGCCACCCTGTAACAGCACACCACACGCTAGTATGTCCCGGCCAATGGGGGAATCGGGCGTCGGTGGCGCGCGTACTGCAAGCAAAGAGGGGATAACCGACGAACTAACCCTCCACCGAGTTTCACTGGCTTCTCTGCAGCCATCACAAATACACTCCATCCAATAAATCTCACTTAAAACCATTACAACCTAAAAAAAATGAGCGAGATTTGTCAGCGGCCGTGCCACACGTCAGGAGTCATCAAACAGCATGGCAACATGGCAGCACACTTCAAAACGGCGGACGCGCATAGAAAACGGAATTATGTATGATGTGTTCAATGACTTTGCATTTGAAAGAAATGCCCGTAGACGATCGCTCTTATGAACACCAACACAAGAATTCTAATGGCGATCAATATCAAACCAGCGCAAGCATCTGGCAGTGAATCTTCCACCCTGAGCTGCGTGACTAGGAGCGGTGGCGTGCGTCCCTCCAGCCCGCCCACCTCTGACAGAAGAGCTCGTCCGAGTGGTCGACGATCTCCGTGAGACTGGGGTTGCCGCTAACCGCCGTGTCCTTGGGCATGGGGCGCCGGTACGCGCCCATCCGCTCCAGCACCTGGTGGCGCGCGCGCACGTGCTCCAGCGGGAACGCCAGGCCCGACGAGTGGGCGATATCAACCGGCGTCAGGCCCATCGTGTCGCAGAAGTAGTCCAGCAGGCGCTCCGTGTCGGCCCAGCGCCGCTGCAGCACCTGCGGGCAGCGCCGCGCCACGCGTGCCACCTGCTCGGCTGTGAAGCGGGTGCGCAGCTCAGCCAGCTGGCGCCCCAGCCGCGATGCCGGCACCAGCAGCAGCTGCGGCTGCTCCGTCACCATCTGGCGCAGCGCCGCGTCGCCGACACTGAGGCCGGTGCAGAACGCGGCGAGCGTGTCGCTCAGCTGACGCCGGCTGCAGTCGAGGAGGGGCGGGCAGGCGGCCAGCATCGTCAGCAGCTGCTGTGGCGTGTAGCCACTCTCCAGCAGCGTGGGCACGGCCTCGCGCCAGCTGGCCGGGCCGCGGCGCAGCAGCTGCGGCGCGCCCAGCACCAGCTCCGACAGCTCGTCCTCAGTGAAGGCGAGCTGACGGAGGAGGTCGAGCGCGGCGGCCGCCGACGGCTCGCTGACGAGCCGCGCGCGCTCCGGCGCCGAGAGCAGTCGGTACAGGCGGGCGGCCAGCGCGCCGGCGTCCCACTGCTGGGGCTCGGCCGGCGCCGGGGGCGGGCCGGCCGGCTGGCCAGACCGCGTCTTTCGCCGGCAGACCCAGCTGCTGGTCGCCAGCTGACAGTGAGAGCTGAGTGCGCCGCGCGACGCCCGAGCTGCATGGCTCAGAGTCTGGTTATGATGAATGATGAACCTGCCAATGCTCAGCTGCATGCTGCACAACATGGTGGTTTCTTCTGAAATGCAAGAATGGTGGTTTGTTACAACAAGAAGCACCATCTGCATGCCCAGCTTGCAATATACTGCTGGACACTACCAAATTCAACAACTCAAAACAGATACAGTTTTGTTTGGCTGAGTGCCCAGTCCATTCCTTCAAGGTTTGATGACTATGACTTACAACTGTGAGTCATCAACCAGGAGTCACTCAAACTTTAGACAACACAGAACAACACATCCCTGTCCATAATCATTTAAGATTCCTTCCTTGAAGGCATGTTGATTTTTAACAGCCAAATGTGTGATCAAATGTTTACAAGCTGTCCTGAATAAATATTTTTGCTGATAACATATCAATGATTTTTGTTAAACAACATAGAATCTGAAGTCAATTACACTTTCACAACAATAAACTTGTTTTCACATCATTGCTTATCACAGGTGTCATTTTCATCTTTCACTGCCAATTGGAAAACCAAAGTGAAAGAATGAATGAAGAACAGCAGAAGTGGCTACATGCAGGCTAATGATTCCACTAGTGTTTTTGGTTTTATGGGCAGTCCACAACCCAATGCCCAAGCCATTCTCAGAACTTGAATGACAATAACCACATGTTTGGTGTAGGGGAGGGACAGGGTGGGAGAAACCAGTGTATAAGAGTGCAAGACTACTTATTAAAAAAATTATGACTGATCGAACAGGATTAGCACTAGTATCAGGCATGCAATGCAGGCTACAGGATGACTTGTACTATGCCCCACATCCTCACCCAGTTAACAGACTACAAGTTCTACAGTAAACATCCGGGAGGGATGCTTCTTATTATGCAGGAAATCTCCCAGTCAGCGAGCAAGATGCATGCTTGAAAGTGTTGGATACACAAGAGAAAATTGATGTGTGGCTCGCATGATCCATCCCCGCGCGCAGCTGTCACCTTGACGTTATTAAAGACTGCAATGACGTCATATTGTACAATCAGGTGATCGCGTACTCCACACATGACTCCACACATGTCCACACAGGTACTGCGCAGTTCGCGACGCGCTTCCTTTCTCTGCATTGGATTTGCACTCGGACGGCAGAAAGGAAGACGTGGGTGTAGTGTCCGCGTGCCATTTTTCTTACTTGCAGGCCTTACACTGGAAGCCATCATTTAACGTCACTAGCAATGAAGCCTCTCATTCCATCAACATGCAAGATCAACTCTGTGGTCAACGCCGTCGGCAAGGGAATGGTTGGTGACAGCATATGGCTCAGACGGAACTATGGCCGCTTGTGGGATCCGGCCTGATGTCTTATGGGTTATGATATGTTCGTGTGTTTACCGGTGAAGCGATCCCGCGGTCGGCTAAGATCCACAGGTTTGGGCTGCCTAGATCGGGCGGGATCATTCCCTGGAAGCACTCGTTGCAAATGTGATGCGTTGCTGCGCCAAAATGCAGAACCTTTATTCAATGGTCAGCTGACTTGTTTATGACGTAATTGTAAGTTGAACTTTGAGGCTTTTACACCACACTGTCAAGGCTTGCTGTTCATGCTCAGTTGCGTGGAAGGAATACTTCATCCATAAAGCTTTAAGCATATATTGCTGCATATAACCCATGGCATTGATAATTCTCATTTGATCCCTATATCTAGGCCTTCAACTCAGCAGCAGATTTCATTGAGCATCTTACTTACAAAAGGTAATGTTTCTGCCCAGCACTTGGTGCAGTTATGATAATTTCCCATTTGACAGTGTTGCTTGCTCTGTTAACATGCACTTGGGTGGCTGATTGTGTACCCTGCTCATGTGGGGGGGGGGGGGGGATCAATGTAATCCCCTGACGTCTCAGAAACAAAGAAAGCAAAAGACATCAAATTCAAGGGGTGTGTTGGCTTGTATGTGAACTCACTTGTGGGGTCAAGATGTCAGGTTCCTAGGACATGACCTTTGGGTTGAATGAGCTCAAACAAGCTCAAGCACCAGGTTGGTGTCCAAATTACCCAGTTCTGAGGAAAAGATCACATGTTCACTTATTGATACTGACTTTGTTTGGCCTTTTGAGGGTTATGGTGATTCAAATAATACAAAACTGCTTTGAGTTTTGCATTTGGACAAGCAACAAAGATTACAGTAGGTGGTATGTTCCTGAGACAAAATGTTGACCTGGGTCATTTTAGACCAGTGACCTGTTCAGACTTTTCCATGGAAGTCCATGGAAAATATATAATACGGTTAATGTTATCAATAAATTTGAAATGAACATGGGAAACTACCCTTACATTAAGCTCGACAGTTAGAAGGCAGATTGATTTTGACCTTGGTCTGACCTTCAAAACTGGCCTTAGGTCAATGAAATTTACTCATTCAATTGTTGTGTTACCTAAGAAAGTATGTCAAACATGTATGGCTTCATCCAGCATTCTGTTGTTGCATCAGATTGAGTGATTCTCCCAAAATTAACTTCGCAGAGTCCATGGCCTGGCTTTGACCTGTTGTGGGTCAGTGACCTTACAAGGTAATCTAAATTTTTGATATAGAACGATCTGCCATTCAATTGTCTACACCTATGCAAAATTTTGCGTGACTACCCCGCTTTTTTCGGAAACTTCCTGAAAACCTTTGGTGGGCGTCAAATTGACCTCTTCACCCGAGCAGGTGTTAGAGTTATATGCGCCTTTTAGAGCACTCTTTTATAAGCGCAGTTTTATTAGCATTTCATCACATCCTTTTGCTGAATACAGCCATTGATGGGTTAAGTTGTGTGTGTGGTGGGAAGCAGGGAGGATCATGTGGCCCTCCCCCTGCTTCATTGATTGTTCTTTTGATTTGTTTGGTCATGATACTAAGTGTTTTTGAAAGTAGTAATTCTTGTATGTTCCTGAGTACCTGCTTGCCCCTGAACTCGAAGGACTGTCAAGCACTCCTTTGTGTTAGTTACCAGTTTTGTTATGCATTGTTTTGAAGCCTACCAGTAAGCATGTATGCCTTTCTGTTGCAGCGATTAGATGGCCGCGAGATCTTGGATCATCGTGAAACGGTAGTGCAGTTTGGGCGAAGCTATGGGAGCTGCCAGGTTCGCGTGGGCAATACTAGGTATGGTGTTCCACTTTGGGCCAGGGTGTAATGTGCATGGTTCACAGACATAATGCATCTCTAGCCTCCCTGCATCGTTTCGTCTTCCCCTACTGACTTGCGAACATATGTGATACAGATACCAACATCTACGAACATCTGCGATACCATCGTCCATGCCTATAAACTTCTGTAGCGCGAACCTTTTTCGGAAGGATTGAGGAACATCTTTGAAGCAAACATAAGCATAGCAAACTTTCCTTGAAGACATCTGTTTTACATCTGACTCCGCTGCCATGATCCCCCACCGCCGCGGCCGGTCTTCTGACCTGACGTCTGACGGTCTTCTCCCCGCGCGGGCAGGGTGCTGGCCTCCGTGACTGCCGAGCTGGGCGCGCCGCGGCCCGCCCGGCCCACCGAGGGCACGCTGCAGGTGGTGGTGCACGTGACGCCGACGGCGGCGGCGGGCGCCGAGCGCGCCACTGACCTCAGCGTCGGTCTCGAGCGCCTGCTCGAGCGCTGCCTGCGCGAGTCGCGCTGCGTCGACACGGAGTCACTCTGCATCGTGGCCGACGAGAAGGCGAGGACGGGCGGGGGACGCGACGCGTCGTGCAGAGTCGCGGTCGAAAGCGCCGGTCAGCGACGGAAACGGAGTGACTGTGTCCAGTCGTATCGCCGACAGGATTTTACTGATTATTTCGTGATTTATGATGTTGCCGTGGCCAGTCATCAGCTTAACGTGATGTGAGTTGTGCTTCAGTCGGTATAAGAAAACTTAAAGTTGCCATGGTGTGAGTGAGTTAACGGTCAGGTAATATTCAGCCGTCACGCCTGATTGCGATGCGGCGTTGTCTTTGGAATGGTTGTTGGCCAGGAACTGACTGGCGGACGCCCGCCGAGCGTGACCTTCACCAGGCACCTTGACCTTGAACCAACCTTGACCTGGCGCCCCTCTGTCGGCCAGGTGTGGCAGCTGCGGCTGCGCGTGGAGCTGGTGGACCTGGGCGGTGACGCGGCGGCGGCCGCCTCGCTGGCCGCGCTCGCCGCGCTCTGCCACTTCCGCCGGCCGCACGTGGCCGTGTCGGGCCGCCAGGTGCGCGTCTGCCCGGCCGAAGAGGTGGAGCCGGTGCCGCTGGCCGTGCTGCACATGCCCCTGCTCGTGACGTTCGCCTTCTTCAGCGACGGGTGAGCGCGCCGACGACCGGCCGATGTGCTGTCTGTGGGATGGCTGAGGCGATCGGCGCTGTGGATGTGTGTGTGTATGGCTTTGTTCGTGGGTGGTGGGAAGCTGTGTGACGTTCCCGTGACCAGATGGTTCTGGATGTGGATGTGTGTGTGTATGGCTTTGTTCATGGGTGGTGGGAAGCTGTGTGATGTTCCCGCGACCAGATGGTTCTGGATGTGTGACGTTATGACATCCCGTCACAGGCATCATTGACTTTAAGCAAACTACCCAGGAGACGTGAATTCGAACGTAGCAGATGGCTGGACTTGGCATTAGCAGTCTTTTATCTGTGTTTCTGTAGAGATCTCCGTTTTCGTTTATAATGGTATACGTGCTCCCAAGTGAGGTGAAACACTTTCATCTCAGGTTCATGTATCACATGCTAGTGGTCTGGAGCCAGACGTCAAAACGCTCCAATGACCTTCAAATGGCCCCAACTGATGTCCAAATGTGTTCAACGCCTTTACTATGACGGAAAAATAGGCGACACAGGTGCAAACGTAAATAAATGACCGCTTTTCCATGCAGACCTCTTGTACCAGGAGTGATTTCCATTTCCTTGTAAGCGTCCACCGCATGTCGCAGTAGATAGCCAACATTGACCAGGCTGAACGCAGAGCTGCGTCGGCTCTGTTGGTACAGATGGTGCACTCCCATTGGTGCGCACATCCCGCGCAGATGGTGCGCTCCCCCTCCCATTTCATCCGTGCCGCGTGTCGCCTGAGCTAACTGGGGCGCGCCGGCCGGCCGCAGGCAGCACATGGTGGCCGACCCGACCGAGGTGGAGGAGAGTGCCATGGAGGGCGCCTTGACGGTCGGCATGAACTCGTACCGCGAGATCTGCACATTACACCTCACCGGCAAACTGCTGCTCAGCAAACACCAGGTGGGAGACCCGGCCGCCAGCCGCCGCCGTCCTGTCTGCGCCCTGCGTGACGGGGAGGACGCCGGACAGAGCGCAGTACTGAACAGTGCCAACACTCACGTGTTTGGGGATGTTCGTCGCCAGCACTGGTTCGTGTCTGCTTTCCGGGATAATACATTATGTGGTGTCATGAGTCGCTGTGCATCACCGTGTCATAGCCGACCGGTGCACGCCGTGCCTGTCCCCCAACCCCACGCGACGGCCGTGACTCGTGCAGCATGTGACGCCGCTGCGTACCGCCCGTCAGATCCTGGAGTGCACCGAGCTGGCGGCGGCGCGCGTGCGCTCGCTCACGGCTGACCTGCGCCGGGCGCTGTCGGCCGACCGGGCGGCGCGCCGGGCCGGCCCCACGCTGGGCCTAGCCGAGCTGCGGCTGGAGCAAGTGGCCACGGCGGCGGCGGCCATCCGGCTGAGCGGCGCCGTCCAGGCCGGCTCGCTCACCGCCGACCAGATCCGGCAGATGGAGCAGGAGGTGAGTACAGGGGTGAGGGAGACCGGTCTGTGGAGCGGCGCCGTCCAGTCCGGCCCGCTCGCCGCCGATCAAATCAGGCAGGTGGAGCAGGAGGTGAGCTTGGGGGTGAGGGAGACCGGTCGGGGGAGCTGCGCCGTCCAGGCCGGCCCGCTCGCCGCCGACCAGATCCGGCAGATGGAGCAGGAGGTGGGCACACGGGGAAGACGAGCCGGCCGGCAGAGGGGGCTGTGTAGCGGGAGAGGGCGGGGCGGAGGGGGAGAGAGACGTGCTAGAGGAGGCATCGGCCGCCGTCTCCCTCCCCACCGCGGAAAGCGCACTGAGAAATTGTGCCGAGAAAATGTATTTGACCACGTTCGGCTGGTGGGCCACAGCGTCCTCCCGGCTGAGGACAATCGCAGCGGGGATCTCCGCCGCTCCGCCAGGTGCCCGTGGCGGGGTGGGAGGTGACGGCAGTGGGCTGTTGGTCGCTGACGCCTCCCGGCCGCCGCAGGTGGACCAGAAGCTGTCCGTGTTTCGGGACCGGGGCGTGGCAGGCCTGGGCCCGCTGCATCCGGTCGGTGAGGGCGGCGCCAGCCGGTGGTCGGATGACGAGGACGAGGAAGCGTGGCCGTCGACCGGCGCTGCCCCCGCCCCCGCCGCCGCCGACAAGCCGTCAGGTGAGCACGTCACGCTGGCTCCGCGGGCGGAGCGCGCCGCGAGGGACGGGCAGGTCCGCTGTCTGCCGCACTACCTCCTGTGAAGATGAGCGTCCGCGCCTATCGACCGCGGCACGTTCAACCACACATAACTCCGATATTAAGCAATGGACGTGACACAAGCCAGGGCACGCGTGGCTGAGAGACGCGACAGCTGAGAACGAAGTCAAGCGCGATTGAGCGGGTGATTGACTTTCATGTAAGCTGCGGTGTCATGCGCGTGACGCCGTTGTGTGCCGTGTCCCCGCGGTTGTTCCGACACACTCACCATGCCGGCATTCTCGCACGGAGGTACGCGTGACGTGTGCTCGTCCCAGTGTCACCCGCTTGAACTCGTGTCCCTCGGCACGCCGGGGTGTAGCTCACGCACCTCGCACGCTCAGGCCCAGTATGCGTACACTTGCCGTGCGTGGCCTGTGCACCTCAGGGCGCTCGGCTTGACCAGCGCTCCACTGTCCGCCGGCGGTGTCCGCTGTCTGACCCGGCTGTCTCCGGTGCGCCACAGAGTCTGGGTCGGAGAGCGAGGGCGAGCAGACGCTGCTGCAGCCGGACGAGCTGGAGGCGCCGCTGCTCCGCTGTCCGCTGCCCGTCCGGTAGCCGGCGCCGTTGCTCCGCTGCCCGTCCGGTAGCTGGCGCCGCTGCTCCGCTGCCCGTCCGGTAGCCGGCGCCGTTGCCGGTCCGGTAGCCGGCGCCGCTGTCCGTCCGGTAGCCGGCGCCGACGCCGCGGCCCGGGCGGCGTCGGGTCCGCCAGCGCGGCCGTCAGCCTGTCCGCCGGCCTCCGTCCAGAGCCGGCGCCGCGGCCCGGTCCCGTGCCGAACGGCGAGGACTCCGGAAGACGAGGAGCCGCGGACCAAGATCCAGCGGCGCCTGCCGGCTGAAGCGTGCGCGGAGAAATCTCAGCTGCTGGTGGTGGGTAGGCCAGCGTACGGGTGCGGCCGTGAAGTGAAGTCTGGCGCCCCACTGTTCACCTCAGCGCGCTGTCGTCAGATCGACGCATTGCCGTCAAGTCGCCCACATACTGGTTTCCAACACCGGCCGATTAGCCCCCAATCCACATCCCAAATCGCGGTTTCAAGCGGTTGATTCGTAATCCAATATCGATCCGAATGCCTCAGCCACATGAGTCACACAGGCCTGTTTTGCAGCGGGTTGACAGCCAGACGGACATTCAGGCTGGTGTGCTGCCGCGTGAAGTGAATAAATCAATGGTTGTATTTGCACTGTTGAGTTCTATTCCGTTATCCAGAGGCGTTAATGGCTCCCTGGCAAGAAATGGGCTGAGGGAGTGTAAAGGCCTTACTTAGCAACCATCTGGTGCAACCCCACGCGCTTCTTACATATGTCACCAGGCGAAAGGCTTTACTCGACGACCACCCCATATGACAGGCGGTCCTACTGGTCATAACGGTACCTGAAACGTGACGTAACGAAAACAAGCGGCAGCTCCTCTGTCTGTCTCAGGCACCGCTTCCCACGTTCACCTACTCGCACTACAGCTACAGCGTGTTGGCGCTATTGACCACAGTCACCTACTCCCACTACAGCTACACGTGCGCCCGTGATTGCAGTCGACAGGCGGTCGGCGCGAGGCCACCCTGCCCGCCGGCCACCCATTCAGCCGTCTCAGCTCTCACCAACAAACGGCGGCTCCATAAACACAGCATTGTATTGGTTGCTGGGCTGGGCGGGCAGCCGGCCAGCGGCGCGCCGTCCCACAGCACCCCGGCGGCCGGCCCTGCCCAGGACCGCCGGGGGTCGCCAGGCGTCACCAGGCGGTGGCCAACTATCCGGTAATATCGGAGTTTGCGCCCCGCGTCACAGACGCACGTCAGGTGCGCGCCGTCACGCCTCGGCAGCGCGGGGGTCCGCGGCTCCGGAGCCGCGGCAGCCGTCGGCGCCTGGTTCACATCTGAGCAGCAATACCTCCAACCATCAGGCGGCTAGGCTATGATTATCTGCTGCAGCGCGCAAAGGCATCGCGATCATACACCTTCATGATGCAAAAGAGTAAGCGCGTCGACACATACATATAGAACACGTTACCATGCGACGAACATCGTCTTTGAGAAGGAGTCCGCCGGGAGGAACTAACCGAACATAAATTCGAACTACCTATGTGCTTGGTGGCGTTATCGTTACCTATGGCCGTATTTTACACGACGTAAAATACCGTACGACACCGTATTTGCGATACAGTAAAGTACATTACTGTCAAACATAGCGTTTTACACAATTGGCCTGGCGAAGCGAGCACGTGAGAGCATATCAGAGACGTGCGTCTGCTACAATAATCCAGCGCATTTCAGCCGTAGAAAAACACCGCTCCTAACCTGGTCTGCCAAGTCTCAATCTGGCGAGTGACACGCTCTAGGCACTGGCGCTTCCGAATGGCTTTGTAATGTCCTGTTGCCACGGAGACCACTCCGGGCTGGACAGAACAGTCGTTCTTACAACGCTAATCCGAACACTCAGAAGCCGCACTCGCAAGACGCTAACTCCCGGCATCTCTTCGGCCCATTAGCGTTTCATGATCCAAACCCTTCCCGCCCCGGTGCGACGAGAGGCCGCGGGTATGCTGTTGACCGTGACAGAGAAAATACCCCCCTCCCCCCCCCCCGACATGTCAGCACGGACAACTAATAAAGCATATGGCAGCCAATCTAACTACGGGTATCCAGCGATCCCACATATGTAGCCGTTTCACTGCGGACACTTTTTGCACTGTTTTCACTGTTTCACCGTTTCGTTCCACTGTTTCACCGCATTGCAAGTGCAGCCGATTCAACTGTCCTGCACTGGTCAGTGCTGCTCGCTGTCCCTAAAAATATAAATACGTGACGAGCACACACGGCCAATGCAGTTAAAAAAGTCTTCGTCCGGTCGGCACCACCAGGGCCCACAAATTGTAGCCTTTCAGCTGAGATGTAACTGGCGTCGTCTGCTCTATCCCTAGAACAATCCAATTATGAGCGACCCTGCGTCCATGTTTGTTGCAGCACGTCCTCCGTAGCTGGCACCATTTGAGCTGGACGTCAACACTGCTTAAGACCGTGCGTGCCAAAAGTAACATCAGATAACGGTTAGACAAGCCGGCGCAAGGAAATGTGTGGGGCCTGATAAAACGCAGCTAGTATCAATACAAGGATGGGCGGAACGCAGGAGTCCCCGCCAGTTATTCCGTCTCACTTTGGGTAGCGATCTAAAACCTGCGCAGACCTCTAAAAACTCGCGGCATTCGACAGCCACGCGTCCAAAACAAGCACGTGCCCGACCTGTACAAAATGCGGCGGTCGGCCGGCACGTGGCCCCTGACGCCCCCAGCGCGATCCTGCGCGGGAAGGAAGCGCCACCGCGGCGCTCGCCGTCCGCCGCCAGCCTATCCGCCGCCGCCGCCGCCGAGCCCGGCTACCACCGCTCGGGGGTCAGCAGAGCTCGACGAACGTGGCCGGGAAGAGGCCGGTCTTGCCCGTCTTCTCGTGGGTGCCCTTCATCCAGCCGTCGGATCGCTTTTTGTGCACGAACACGATGTCGTTGGCGCGCAGCTCGAGCTCGACGTCGCTGCTCGGCGGGTAGTCCATGGTGCAGCGGTACCTGCGGCGAGGCCGGCCGACCCGGCGGGTCACAGGTCAGCGCCGACATCCCCACCCCTTCTCCCCACCGCCCTGCACGCGCACTGAAGACATCAGGCCCAGACACAGCCTGACACCAGGGCAACAGACGTCAGCCACGCAACAGGAGACTCGGTGATCATGAGGGAGGGGGGGGGGGGGGGAGGAGAGACAGGACCGGACTGGTCACCGGTAGCCACCGGCAGCCCGTGTTGATTCCAGCACGCACCGGTCGATAAGCTGCGAGCTCCCTCGATACGGTTACGACGCGAACGGTGCAGTCACGTGCGCCGTCAAATGCTCCAAGCCCGCCCCAGCCACCCCGCCTCGTACGCCCGTCGGGTGCCGTGTCACCCCTCCCATACCGCGCATCGCAGCGCATCAAGGTCCACATTCCCGACGTGCCCCCTCCTCTGACGGCCGGCGTCGCGGCGCGCCGGTGCTCACCTCTGGATGACGAGCGGCGTGGGCGCCCGGTAGTTGCGCCGCAGCTCCGACTGGGTCCTCTCCGGCCTGCTGCGGCGCCGGCGGCGCGGCGTCAGGGCCGGCGCGGTCACGAGCCGTACACACAGCGCGTGATGGGCACGACAGCGGCCGCGCCGCGACGGACACAGATATGCAAGCCCAAGTGGCACACGGCGCCGCAGCCCGTCCGAGGATCGGGAGCTGGGTGTCAGTCAGTCCGAGGGTCGGGAGCTGGGTGTCGCAGCCCGTCCGAGGGTCGGGAGCTGGGTGTCGCAGCCCGTCAGAAGGTCGGGAGCTGGGTGTCGTAGCCCGTCCAAGGGTCGGGAGCTGGGTGTCAGAGTCAGTCCGAGGGTCGGGAGCTGGGTGTCACGGTCAGTCCAAGAGCCGCCCAACGCGTCACAGTCGCGAGTTCAAAAGTCAGATCATCAGCGGACGTCACGAATGACAGGAACGACGGCGAGCGCCGGCGCTACCAGTCTGGGACAGACCAGGCCTCGGCAGCCAGGTCCGGATGCGAGCTCAAGCCCCGGCGAGCTCACCGAATGACTGCGCTTGGTAGGTGTAACCCACAGTTGGACTGTCTGTCAGGCGAGTTCACAGTTTAGACAACAGCTGCGGCCCGTAGGATTAACAACCGGCTGCTGACCGCGGTCTCGACTATCAGCTGTTGGTATCAGATGATCCAGCGCGGGGTAAACGAAATCACCCCACGGCGTCATGGGCAATGGGAAATCTGTTAGCTGGTGCAGCCGAGACTACCTTTGGTGGTCAATTCCAGTGTCGTGGCCTCCGAAATACTGCAAGGATCCCTTCATACTTCACCCAAAATGACAATACCGGGCCAAAATCCTCCACACTGTGCCCTGAGCCCCGGTGATAACGCCGCCCCTTCCGTCCCATTCCCAGCCGGCCCCGCCGGAGCTCCTCTCCGCGCGCCGCGCGCCTGCACTCACCTCGTATTGCGGTTGGCGATCACGGTGTTGGCGGCGAGCGTGGCGGGCATGCCGGCGCCCCAGGACCGCACGCGCTGCAGCGGCCGGTGCTGGTTCTCGGACGGCGGCGCCGCCGGCCGCCTGCGGGCGCACGCAGACGCACGTTCAGAGCGACGCTCACAGCTGACGGCTCGGCACAAACACTCGCAGCGCGGCACCGAGACACGCCCCACGGCACGGACGCTGGACGGCGCGGACGCCGCCTGCCACACGACATGGCTCACAGCTCTACAATCCGTCCGCAGCGCGGCGGCGCCGACAGATGTCAGCGCCCTTTGGCGGGCTCTGCGCCACTGCCGGACGGACACCGGACGCCGGAGGGAGCGGTGCCGTGCCGCCGCGGCCGCTGACCTGCTGTGGACGGGCGGCGGGTCGGAGCTGCCCTCGGGCGCCGGCCGCGGCGTGGAGGCTGGCGTCAGCCGCCGCAGCGCCTTGCTCGGCTCCGACTGGCCCTGGCGGCGAGTGAAGCGGCGGCGCCGGTCAGTCGGCCACAGCAGGTGGAGCGCGGGTCACAGGGATCAGCAGCGGGGGTCATCTCATGATGAGCCCCCATGGAGAGCGGCCCGGCGAACGAATGTGGGCAGCAACTACTTTTTGTGCTCCTGAAACACCGGGCCCCTTCACTTCAGTTCTGATGCAAGTGACATGATGATAACACTGACGCCTGTTGCCACCTCGCTCATCCAACGCCGGGCATAGTTCGCTTCTGGCGGGGATATCTCGCGCACGCCGAAGCATGACCTGCAGTCGGCTTCTGCCGGCGCGTGTGGACGCCAGACTCTCACCTGCCTACTAATGAGGGGAGAGCTGGACTCAGACCTGGGCTCGCCGCCCGGCGGCCGCTGGAGGGCTTTCCCTGAAACCGAGCCCCATAATACATCACGTAACGAAATAAATGGGCAGGAGTCACAAAGCGCATCAAACCTTGCTGCCATCACTGGGGAGCTGGGCACATCTAGAACTGACTCGTTCCCGAAAATTTGATAGCATGGACGGCAGCTCATTTACCTCGGTACCTACTCCATGCCAAGTCCTAATCGTGCGGCTGTCATCGACTTGGTTAGCGAACTATACGCACGCATACGGCAGGACTACATTTCCAGTTATATAAACACACCACGAGTCGTTGTGTCCCTGCAGATTTTTCCCCACGCCCAAACACGGCTATGCAAGAGATCAACGGCGACGACCATATGCCCACCCACCCACGCCTGCTCATCGCGGCCCTGTGACCCGGACCGATTACCACTCACCGGCCGGTTTGGAGGTGCGTGGCCGGGGAGGCGCCACGGGAGCCTGTTCGACCGGCGTCGGGGCGGGGGCGCCGTGGGCTGCAGGGGCGGCGGGAGACGCGGGGGCTGCAGGGAGCGCTGGAGGCCCGGGAGGCGCGGGAGGTGCGGGAGGCGCGGGAGGTGCGGGATGCGCGGGATGCGCGGGATGCGCGGGAGGCGCAGGGGCCGCCGGAGCCGGGGCAGCCGTGGCCGGGGCGGAGGGCGCCCGTGCGCGGCTGGGCCGGGCCGGCAGCGGCGGCGGCAGCGGTGGCACCACGCCTGTCGACTTGCTGCTGGAGGCCAGGCTGGAGGCACGGCACAATCGGCAGTCAGTTCCCGTCAGGACAGGGGCGTGCCAGCGCCCGTCACCGGCACGCGCAGCTGCCATGGTCTTTAAGACCGCAGTTCCTCGCGTCGGCCGCGCCATATGGACCGTGCGGTGCGGTGAGAGTGGAAATTAGTTCGGAAGTTGGTCCGGGTGTGCGTAGCGCCCACGTTCCAACGGCGGCCCGATGCCGCGAGCACAGAGGTCACAGCTGGTGAGGGACAGCCATCGAGCACCCCAGCATCGGTGCATGTGCCCGTGGCCCCCCACAGCCAGGCGAACCGGCGCCACAGGAAGAACGTGACGTCATCAATATCCTGAACGGCCCCTCGGCGGGCAAGCTGGGACAAAACTATTGCAGAGTTCCCTCGAACTGGTGAGCTGGGTAGAGCAGCGGGACCAGTGCAAGCGTGCAGGCAAGTCTCCCCAGCGACACGGCTGCCCGGATTGGTACTTTAGATTTGAGCGTTCACCCACAAAGAAAGCTATCAGGAGCAGATAGCGCATCACACAATTCGGATCACAAAGATGAACACGCCGGGTGCCGCTAACCATGTTCATCTCCACGTTTGCGAAACAGAACAACGCCAATCACTAGATGTAAAACCAAACACAAAAAGACAAATGATCTGCCGTTTCACACGAGACGAAAGAAGCACACAGGGCTGCAGGCTGTACGACGACCAAGTGTTTTCGACATCGATGATTGATCACTTCACGCCCTGCCACGAAATTCGCATGCTGAACACCTCGCCAGCTATATACATAGAAATATATGATACGGTACTGAGCACCCTGTGACATCCTTTCGCCCGCCGGCTGCACATTCAAGAAAACACTTTAAAGCGTACAGGACCCACTCAGCTCGAAAAAACCGGCAGTTGTTCGTCCGCTTCGGTTGATCTGACAGAATATGCTCTGCCAACAAACACCAAAGATGCCAAGGGGCGCCAACATATGCTTATCGGGGGGTAATGACCAAAAGCCACTGCGCGCGGTGCTCCGCCCCTCACTGACAATGCGCACGATACACCGCGACGTCTACGATAGGAACCGACGCGTCCGAAGTACAGTTCCACCTGCAGCCCCTCAGCAGCACAGCACCACAGCCCGGCAAGACGGCTCACGTGTCCGGAACACGTCTGATTACCACTCAGGCCCCGCGGTATTAAACCACTTCACTCTTTTTGGTTCTCTGAGTCCATCCACTTCGACCCGGGTCAAGGCGTGAAGTTCATTAAGTCGCACGCACGCGACCCATGCAAGCACGTGCCACCACCTCCCCGGGTCGTCACCCCTCATCCCGACCACGCGGCGAGCAGGAACCGTCGCCCGTGCGCGGCTAACGGACTGAGAGGGCAGAGGGGAGGGGGGGGGGGACTCACCAGCCGTGCGCGCCCAGCAACCTGAGAGGGCGGGGGGGGGGGGATCTCACCAGCCGTGCGCGCCCAGCAACCTGAGAGGGCAGGGGGGGAACTCACCAGCCGTGCGCGCGCAGCATGGCGTTGGCCGGGCTGTTGAGCTCGACCAGCGTGAGCGGGAAGAGGCCGAGCCGGTGTCCGAGCTTGCCCTCGGCCCAGGCGGCGTCCACCGGCCTGATCAGCGTCACTATCTCCCCCTGACGACACCGTCACAGCAGCTCTCAGCGTGGCGGGCGGCGGCCAGGCCGGCCGGCGCACAGCAGGGCGATGACGGCCCAGCTAGGGCGCACTTCACATTGCGGGGCAGGCAGACTGGGACGATGCCCGTAACATGAGCCCACCACGGGCCACACACTGGTTAGTCCAACAGAATGGCGTTGACTCAACCCGCATCTATCAATTATCTATGAAGGTGATCACGATTTGATCACATCATTGATCAATTTGATCAAGTGATCACGGTGATCACTCCCTGATTCTGCATATATATAGATAACACATGTTGCATGCTGATTTTGTCCACAAAGAATAGCAAAAAGAACACTCCTCATGGATTGACCCTCCATGCAGGTTCAGAGCGGCAGCAAAACCCGTCAAACCACACAACACTCTGCCCCAACAGCCGTCTTTCAGCGTAGGTCACCTGTACGTGGGTCACACGCCCGGAAGGCACATCGCTACGATCAATGGCAATTGGTGGCGCCGATTTGTGTTCAAGCATCGGCCCCGGCGCCGATCCGAACACAAAACATCGACTCGACACTTACAATGCGCTCAACAGCCGCGCCATTGTACAATATTTGCCGATGAGCTGCACCCCGCGCACGCGTGATCTGGGGTGATTCCGGACGGAAACGATCCCAATGCTTTGGTCCGTTCTCAACGGCGCAGCAGTTTCCCGTCTTAAACCTAAAGCGAGCCCTGGCTTACGGCATGCCCATCGAGAATACGTGGCGGACGAAAGTTCACTAAACCAGCCAAAACCACCCTCCTCAAACCATTCTGACGGGCTTTGTTCTTCTCAGAACTCTCGCTTCACACGTCCCTTACTAATCCAACGTAACCAAACACACAGCTCTTTCCCACGGTTTACATTTCCCTCACTATCCCCGGAGAACGACCTGCGCAGAGCGTCCCCCTCCTCCATCCCCTCCGCCCGCCCGGCCGCCTCACCTTGCTGAACCTGAGGTAGGTCTTTCCGTCCTGGTCGGGAAAGGTGAACTGCGAGAGGGCGCGGCACTGCGGTATCCGGTTGGCCAGCGCCGTGAGCACTGCCACCCGGTTGACGGGGAACACGCCCACCCGGCCGTCCAGCTGGCCCTCGAACCAGTCAAAGTCAATCCGGCGCCGCAGCTGAATGACGTCTCCCTCCTTGAAGGCCAGGTCACTGCGCACGGGCACACTCAGTCGCCGGGGGTGCGCTGGTACGGCCACGCCATGTCTCGCACCGCAGCCAGCGCATGGTGACAGCCATGGGGTGTGGCGACACATGAACATGAATGTCCGCACACCCCTGCGGAGTGTGTAGCCACGAGATGTGCCGCATACACGCTCCCCTCTGTACTTAGGTCAACGCACAGCGCGGAGAGCGACAGCAAATATGGCTGTAACCATCGAATTCCGAGGCCCAGCTTCAGCAGCCCCTCTTCTATTATTCTCACCTCAACATCGAACTACACAGAACAAGCATGTCAGAACAAAATCGGCCTTCCCGGAGCCGGTCGCGACATCGCCGGCCGCCGAGCCGCCGCCACTGACCCGTCTTGCTGGCCGGCGTAGCTGTAGAGGGCGCGCGCGCACGGCACGGCCGGCTGGGCGCGCGCCGCCGGTGCCGGCTTGCTCGACAGCGGGTCAAACTCGGCGAGCGCCTCGCGCAGCGAAGCCAGCGCTGCCTGGCGGCCGGCAGCATCGGCAGCAGCAGGCGGCGGCGGTGCAGGCGGAGCCGCCGTGAACGGGTTGGTCTGCGGGGCGCGGCGCACGAACGGCGAGCCCTCGGCAAAGCCGTCGCACGAGACGCCGCGCTCGAGCACGGGCCGCGCCGGCGGCGGCGCGGCGCGCGGCGCCGTCCGCAGCGTCTCCAGCAGCCGGATGAGCACGATGTTCTGCGGCAGCTGGTCGACGGGCGTGGTGACGGGCGTGCGGCACTCAGGGCAGTGCAGCTGGCCGCGCGACGCCACCACGTCCTGCAGGCAGTGCAGGCAGAAGGTGTGCTGGCACGGCAGCACGCGGTTCGAGTCGCTCAGCTGATTCAGGCAGATGGCGCACTCGAGCGCGTCCAGCAGGCTGCTGTCCATGGCCGGTCACGTGACGCCTGCCAGAGCAGGCATCAGTCGGTCAGCGCGCGTCGCAAGTCAACGTACAACGGCTGCTGACGACGACGGAACCTGTTCGGCGGAATCGGTTTCCTTCCACGTTTGATGCTTAAAAGCGGCATGGGTTTCGGAGATGACAGCACCGGACGCCGACAGCCGTGGTGCTCTACTCCGGCCCGACCCGACCCACCCGACCCGATCCGATCCGACCCGACCCGACCCGACCCGACCCGACTCGACTCGACTCGACTCGACTCGACTCGACTCGACTCGACTCGACTCGACCCGACCCGACCCGACCCGACCCGACCCGACCCGACCCGACCCGACCCGACCCGACCCGACCCGACCCGACCCGACCCGACCCGACCCGACCCGACCCAGCCCTGTCCCTCCGACCATCACACCGTTAGCCAGGCCTGCGCACCCTCGCGCCCGGCCCCGGACACCAGGGCGGCCGGGATGAAACGGCGACGGTGGGTGCGCGCCGGCCGGGCGCACAGTAGCGGACGGGATACTCGGTGCCACGCGGAGATAAGCCGCGGCGCGCCCGTGACTCACAAATCGCCGCCGTGTCCGACCACCGCCGCCGCCGCCGCGCGTCCCGCTCCGCCGCGGCCGACCTTTCCCCGCTGACCATGCAAGCCAGCCGCCACAGCCGGCGTCCGCCAACTGACAGGCCGGCGGGAGTGAGGCGCCCACCCAGGGACGCGCGGGAGGACGCCTCACCGCTTCGCTGACAGCACGTGCCAAGAGCGGCGAGAAAACGCGGAATCGAGTGTCCAGTGGGACCAGCGGACAACAGTTGTGCCTTCGGCTGCAGCAACAAAGTCAGACCAATTAGAAATACAATTAGTCTCGTCGTCGGCCCGTGGGAGTTGACAATGACAACACCGGCTCCGACACGCCGCGACGGTCGGCCAGTCCGCCAGCCCGAGCGAGAAGTCAGCTGACACCATCACATCTGCATCGGCAGCCACCTGCCGAGGCCCTCAGGGAGCTGACCCGCCTGGCCACGGGCGGTGCGGCTCCGGTAGGGCCCCGCTCCCCCTCCCTCCCCCCATGCCTGCCACGTGACTGTGCCGCGAGTCAGCTCTGCTCGAGCATGAACCCGATGCCATGGGGGTGGGGTCTCCTGAGACTGCTCTGGTGTGGTGTGTGTGTGGGGGGAGGGGGGTCACACCAGCTGGTACAAAGAGCAAGCAGGTGACCCATGTAAGTCATGGGCAATAAATATGGCTAAGGACAGCAAACATTATTTCCTCATCTGGAAGCCCCAGAAATATGCCACAAAAACAGATGAACTGTCGTGGGACACCTACTGCAACATGCCATGTTCCCAGTCATGGGTTTGAAGCACATTTGAACCAACATGACAGCATTTGAACCAACCTAGAATAACATGCACTAATGTCAAATGTGTTCTGGAGTTTGTAAGTTAACAGAACAGTGCCTGGGCACTGTGAAAATGGATAGATGTGTGCACTGCAGACCGAGAATGAAATCTTTCACTCTGTCATTTTTAAGCTGAATTTATTTTCATTGATATGATATACAATATGCAGTTATTGATGATTAACCAGCTATGCCCACATAAAACAACATGGTGCGTCTTTGGATCAAGACCACCACCGACTGCACTCTTCTTTTCATACTTATAACAAAGAGCTAAAATATATTTGTCAACCATCCTGTCGTAGGCCAAAAGCTCAGGAAAATTCCATTTATTTTGCATAATACTTAATACAATTACCTGCATCCCTCTTACATTTTCCAGCATATAGCATGCTTAATTGACTGATGTCAACAAGCCGTTTGCTAGTTGCTACAGCTGAGACCAATATATCATTAATGTGTAATTTTGAGTCAGGTTTGCTCTATTTGCTACATGAAGCCACATAAAGAATAGGACTACTCCACCTGGTTAGCATTATAATTCTTTAAAAAATGATAATGTTTACTTATCAACTATTTTTAGCAGCAGTCACAAATGATTATTTCATAGCCAGAAAATTGGACTGATGAAAATAAATTACTACAACATGTGTATGGACCTTATGAACTCTCCAATCCATGTTCATGTGAAGGTGGCCTGCTAGAAGCAAAATTGTTATCATCTTTCCAACAGAATATCATTACTAACATTTAAATGCAACCCAAATTTACACACAATCCACCAACATTGTTGCTATAGCAACAGTCATATCAAGATTTTAGACCAGAGTGCACCACATCCTTCTCCCCTTTATCAGTGTTGTAGCATCACTGAAAATGTGAACAGCCTCCACCCCCAACACTTCAGAAAGATGCAAAATCCCTCTGCACATGACACTGAGGGCTAACAGAATAGCCACCAAGAGATGAACCTCTGGCTAACTTTTTCTAGAATATTATCAGTATTACACAAAACATAAACCTAGGTGACTTTTTAATGTGATATGCTAGATGCAATCTGCATTTAAATGACCCTGGCACCTACAGGAGCTTAGATACAAGATAGCACAGGTATGGTTAACTTTTGGGTTACAATATAACACACAACAGCTCACTTTTCAGTGAAATATTCAGAGTTAATTTTTTTATTAGGTTTTGAACATACATGTAGTAGGTGGAACAGTTTTACAAAGCAATTTTGACCTGTTGCCCTATATCCAGCATTAATAGGATGATAGCTCACAGACAAATTTGTTTTCAGAGCTAAAATATACCTTTCATTAAAGCTATCCAGGGTGTTAACCTCATACAAGTGAAGCAGTAAGTGAATAAATGTCATGCACCTGGAGCAGGGTAAAGTTGATTCACAGTTTAACATACAGGGAATGGTCAATTACATTCACTGCCAGGCAAGCAATCAATTGTTAGACATCCAAACCTACAAAGGCAGACATTACTCCACTTCTTTTCACATGCATGCCTGATAATTCACGTATGCACATTACTGTCATAAAATGTCCCTTAGTCAAGAGTTATGCAGCCAAAACAATAGTTTTTTTTTCAAACAGCAAAGCGAAATCGTTGGTCACACACGGTCCTCTCCATCACATCCATCATGAAAACTAACCATCTGCACACGCCTGTTATCTAGATCCGGGTTGATCCGTACACATGACGAGAGGACACCTGCGGCCTCTTCAACGAAGCCCAACCCCGATGGGTTGTGGTATGGTACGCACCTGGTGCTTATTGTCAAGATGGCACAGTCAGCAATCATACGTTAACTGTTACTACTTCCATTGCGCCCGCCAGCTTAGACTTTCACAAAGCCGCACTGCACGCCCACAACACCACATCCGCAAAAGTAGGCGTGTTCGCTCGCTTCAAGTCATGGCAATCCAAGGATACATAAATGAATGGTAAGCTGCGACTTCTAAAACTACAGACAAGGGTGCTTTGGGGAAACGTTCGTTGTGATTGGCTCCAGCAATGCCGGAGTTTCGCGTCATACTGTATCGCCAGTCACGGAAGTTTTCTCCCCTTTCGATGGCATGTTGTTCGGGTTTATCTCTGTACGATTTTGACAGACATTGATTTGTGATTTACGAGCTGTTCTCGACATAATTACGCCAGCGATCTTGAACATTTGTTTTCGAATTCACAGAATGTGAAGTAAATTATGTACGTATCATGTAGCAATAGCCACATACACAACTGGCTGAAACGTACTTTCACATGATCCATCACATTTCGGTGCCTTGAGATCCTTTGCGAAACAACCGTGGCCATTTCCTTCGAAATTTTGCTACCGCTAATTCGCGATGAGAGGGATCAGAATGGGATGCATATGACACCAACAGACAAGCAAGTATATTTAAAGTCCACTGGCCGATTTCGCTACTGATTCGTCAGTTTGCATGGTATTAGGAACAAGTTCTGATTAACGTTCTCCTAGCCGGACCACCAGTGCAATAATTTGGCTCAATTTGACAAAAAGTAACTGCATGCAGTTGACGCAACTTACACTTTTCTTGGTCGTAACTGCATGCATGAGGCCACGCTGAACAACTTAGCGGTCTTGGAGGAAATTGTTGAATTTGCTGCGGAAATCAGGCTGGGAAGGAGGAAATTAGGGTGAGGAACGTCTGCTGGATGGCATGAAATGTCTGCTGGAAGGCGGCACAGGTCGGCTGGAGGGCGGGTGTACGTCGGCTGGAGAGCGGGTGAACGTCGGCTGGAGAGCGGTCGAACGTCAGGTGAAGAGTGGGGGACGTCGGCCAGAGAAAAGTGTGATGTCACCTGGAGAGCGGGGAACATCGGGCTGACAGGGGAAGACGTCGGTCCGACGTGTATGTTGGCTGGACGTCGGCAAATGTCTCAGCTGAACTTTGACTGGACCTTGGCACACGCGGACATACCCGACCTCCAGGGGACATCGGGCCGACTTCGGGACGAAATCGGGCTGACGTTGGCCAAACGTTGGCGTGCCTACTGATTAGCTCATGGCCTGGAAATAAACTTTTAATCAATGGTTTTTGAAAGCGGTCAAACAGCAACACTTCATTCAATCATGACCAGATATTGCGAATTTTATTTTAACAGATGTGCGCACGCAGACAAAAGCTAAACACAAAACTGATGACTCTTTTCAAAAACACTTATCACACCCTTCACAGGAGAGTTACCAACAAAGAGCGGGGAAATAATGGCATAGAGAAAAAAACGGGCCTGCGAAGGCACACCCAGAATGTATCCCCTACACAAGAAAAGGAGGGCGGAAGCCAGCCAAGATAACGTCAAGTGCAGGATCGAAATGAGACATAACACCAGTTAGGGTGAAGCCCATGAGGACTCGTTCGTTTCCGAAGCTGATGCTGATGTACAACCGCCGCTGAAAGATGTCAATCCAGGTAAAGTGCGCTTTTCTACATGCCGTTTTGTGGTCCCTTCAGTGTCATGTATGCAGCACGTTCTGCACCGCGTAACCTTGCAGTACAACATTCTACGGAATGGATTGGCTTAGAGAGTAGTGCAGCTTTCTGAGAAATGCATTGCGAAGGCTCGACGCCAACGTTTCCAGAGCGGAACATATTTGTAGGGTATAAAAGCTCTTACATCTAGTGATGCCTATATTTTTCCGTTCCAGAAATCTGTGGCTCTTGATGCGGGCGAATCTCTGATGTAATGTCATTATCATGAGATTGAAGAGATTTACAAAGTGAGATTGATGTAAATGCATAATGTGATACGTGCTAACGTGATTCCCGTTCAGCGCCCCCCCCCCCCCCCCCAACCCTAGCCTATTTCGCAAGACTTCACTCCTGCGGTCGGGGCTTAACGATCACGACGCGTGACGAGTTCACGACCAGATTACTCCAGCATCAGTCTAGGACTAAGGGCCCATTTCCCAAGCAGAGACAAGGCCAATACCCACGGTTTACATCAGTCTGGGCCTCCGAAACAATGAAGGGACTCTGTATCGATCTGGGGACGATAGTGCATAACAAGGGTCATGTATGGCAAGGAGCTCACAATCGGCCTGGAGCAGTGTTCGAGGGGTCCGCAGAGGGGCCTTTGATCAAGTGCCTGATTGGAAGCTACGAAAGGCTTGCTGTAGGTCCCATTACGGGCCGCGGTCTATAGAACCGGGCCCTGAAATGTCAGGCAGAGAGTTTCCTGCACAGTTTGAAGATACACTAGGACGATGGGAACCTCTTCTTCGGTCAGAGACCACCAACAATGAACAGTCGACTCCGTGTCGATCTGAGCCTTGGGGGCCCATTTCCCATGCAAGGACTAGGCTGGTACCCGAGATTGGCACTAGTGGGAACTCCTAAAACAATCAGACTGTCGCGTCAGTCAGGGGCCCACAGTGCTTAAGAGAGATAGAGTTTTATGTCCGTAAGCGGCTCCGAGTGAGCCGGGGTAACATTTGCTGAACAGGGGCAGAGACTAGACCCAAAATACTAGACGGCCTTTTGCGTTGATCTTGCTGTGAATGTTTTGAACCCTCTGGCAATGAAAGTGAATATGATCATTTACGACGAGAGTCCAAAATGAGACAACAGAAGGTCAGGTCCGTGTTTCAGTCGGTCAGTGGTTTTGTTACAGCTCTTCACCCAATTTCAGACAGGGGCCCGTTATACTGAACTGGAGTCTCTATGCCAATTATTGGACACCTGCGTCGATAAAAGCTATGTTTTGCGTCAATGAGAACCCCTGCATCGATCCAGGCCCAAATTTCTGGACCGGGGATCCTTTGGCGTCAGGAAGGCGACCAATGTACATGCGGCTTCGCCAGAAAGCCCCATACAGCCCACACACGTACAGCCCTTGTTTCCCCAGAAAGGCAGCCGGTAGGCACCCCGGGTTGGGACGGAACGACCCTTCAGCCCCTGACCGGGAAACATAATGCGCCTCCGGTGTTCTACCCACTGGACCCCTCGCTCGTAAAAGGTAGGAGGTTTCGCTAGTGTTAAAAAGGGCGGATCAAAATGAGGTACAAAATAAAAAAGGCCAACACCAACAAGACGTTCATCCAGGAGTGGCACTCAGAATACTTTCGGAGTGTTTGAATCCCCCTAATGCTGACTTTAAAGCAATGTTCTATATTTGAAGATGTCGAAACAACCATCAGATGTGATGAAATCAGCTAACTTTTGAGTCTCGGTATAACTTAAGGCGGAAAAGACTGCTCTAGATAGCAAAATTTCTCAATTTGGCACTTATGATTCCCAATACGTCATTGTTTGATTGCGTCATGGAACGTTTGTATGACGTTGAGGTGCTGCCGAACTAGCCGTGCGGGATTTTTTCTGCCAGGGAGCCGTCAAAAGGTCCAGGATTGCAGCGTCCAGTGTTCATAACGTCCAGAAAAGTACAATTCCGTGCCCATTGGGGGGCGTTCATAAGGTCCGGTGACGCAACGTCCAGAGTCGTAAAGTCCAGAGTCGTAAAGTCCAGAGTCGTAAAGCCCAGTGTTCAAAACGTCCAGTATCCATGGCAACCAGGCTAGTTCGGATTCCTGCCGCTAGATAGCATTACAGAAGCATCTTTGAGTCCTGCCGCTATTTCCCTCTTTTGTCAACAGATGGCACAGTCAACCTGGCATTCCACTGATGATCACGCGATGCGTACAGTCAAGCATGGTTACTATAAATTACGCCTGGCGGTTACGCCGAATTACACCTATAAATAAATAGACTCCCGACGGCCGCGTCCGGCATGGGTGCGCCCTCGCTCTGCGGATTGCCGGCGGACTGGGCGCAAACGCGCCGGGCGGCGGCGCGACCAGAGACATGTCGAGCGGCGTGGGCTCGGCAAGCACCGCTAGGCCCGCGGGGTAAGCGGGCTCTCCCCCCCTTCCCCCCCCCCCCCCCGCTGCTGCCTGGGCCCCAAATGCCAGGGTACACTTGGTTGCCCAGGGCCCTTCATATTGGTATCAGGTTCATATTGGTTCTTTCCACTTGCTTGGCGGACCCCGTGCTGTGGCTGGGGCCCTATATAAGGTAACGCTCCGAGACACTCGATGCTCAAGGGCCCTCTGCATTCAAATCTAGCTCTTTCTCTTTTTGAGCTTATTTGCTGAGAACCTTTCACTTGTCAGAGCTCTCTCTGTTAACCCGCCCGGGCACTCTTGATCACACAGGGGCGTTAATGCATGTACACTGATCTTCGGCTAGTGCCCTTTGTTCAGGAGATCCTGCATTCCGGCCGGACCCTATATGTTACCCTGCAGGAGTGCTCGAACAGTGAAGGGTCCCACCATATTGGTGTCAGGCTCTTCTCACTTGTCATGAGCACCCTTCACTGTTCACTGGAGTCTCTTTGTCGGCCTGCCACGGCAGTTTTGATTGCTCAGGTACCGTCCTTATTGGTCTCGCGTTTTTCCATATTATAGGGGGGCCTACGCCATTGACGGGGACCTAAATCTTAATAATTTGTATTGGGGGCTTTACCAACTGAAGACTGAACTTGCGGCTATGTCGATTACGCCGATGAATTCGCTCTTGTCATTGTCGAACATAATTTTACACGCCACCGACGTCGTGCATCTTATTTCCATTGTTTATTGAATTTGTGAGGATTGTTAAACCTGTACGTTACGTTTTAACACATTTCTAAAGGATAGGATATTCCGTATTCCCTTGCCACAGACGAAGCGAAAACTCTGTATTAACAGGGGCGGATCTAGCCTGGAACTTTGCAGGGGAGGGGGGGGGGGGGAGACAACCGTTCGTCGCCAGCTGGCTGGTGTGGGATCCGAGGTCCAGTGCACTTATCAAACACGATGTTTGCGCCGAGTATGACAAAGCTGCGTCAACATGCGTTTTGTTTTGATATTCAAATTGCTCTCAACCTTTCTTCAT